TGATATGCATGCATAAAACACCTTTATAGAATCAGAACATGTAATACAGGGTGATTAGATATTTCCAAAGTTTGTAAACACTAGCGAGCCACCCTGTATAATTCTAAAAATAGCTATTTTTCCATATTTACGTTAAATGTCTCATAATGTAATTCAAAATTATGTTCTGTGCATAATAACATTATGATAATAGACTATGCATTACTATTCATGATGAATATCTTATCGTTATTGAAAAAACAATTGCTTTTGAACCTATTATATTAGGAATATTTCGTAAAACTAAGTAGCCTTAAAAGAAACATTCTAATTGCTCTTAACCAATACTGCGCATGTTGGTGCACGCTAACTAATGTATTGATCAAGTTTTATTGGTTTCTATCCATAGCGCTCCAGCAAATCGATTCAATTTTTTTATCAAAAACTACCCTCAATAAATATTATGTTATTTACTGTAGCTTTCCACCTCTTTCTCTTAAAGATAATAATAACAAACTACAAGGAAGATATAAAGAATTATAACAAGCTGTAAAGTAACGCATTTTTCATGAGTGAGATTTTTTTTTNATTTTTTTATCAAAAACTACCCTCAATAAATATTATGTTATTTACTGTAGCTTTCCACCTCTTTCTCTTAAAGATAATAATAACAAACTACAAGGAAGATATAAAGAATTATAACAAGCTGTAAAGTAACGCATTTTTCATGAGTGAGATTTTTTTTTTCACTACCGAAATATACAGGGTGATGCTCGTGTACAAACAGTTTAAACAGCGTACAGTTGAATGTATGGAACATGCAATTAATTATTTTTTTGAGAAAAAATTAAGAATAAAACGTCTAATTTAAAATAAACATGAATGATTTTTTAATAGAAAACTTGTTGAGAACCGCTGACTTCATTATGGCATTTACGCAAAACGTAGATCATTTATGCAGTGTTGCCGGTGTTACACAGAACTCTTAAACACTAACTTTTCATGTAAAATTGGACAGTTAAATAAGTAAGCATATTTTTAGACGAACCACCAAAGAAATATCTCCATAAAAGTGCCCTCCTGCCCTTACCGTTTATATGTTCACCAATAAACCAATGGCGTCACGTCAGGGACGACAGAATCAGTAAATAATTTAGAATTTTATGTGGCTGCTTAATAATCACAGTGTCGGCAGGCCAACCCTGTATTCTGAAATAGAAATGCGTTGATTCACAAAAACAAATATATTTTATCTAACAAAATAGCGTTATCTAATTTCTTAATTTTTAATTTATATTCGTATCTGGCTACAAAACTAGATTCTAATTATAATATAAGGTATACCTTTTTCTTTTGTTTGTAAATGCGATTTTTAAAAGACAATTATTACATCTTACAAAATGTGTACACCAAAACCAAATTTCAACAAGTTTCCTTCTTTCTTTAAAAATTTTTACGTTTAATAACTTGTGCTAGGAAAATGACCATTCGACTCAAACGTTTGTTTTTAAATAGATCCTAAAAGCCCGCATATTTCGAAACTCTAATTGCCCCAAAATTGAATATTATTATGGTACTATTTTTGGAAAATGCGCAATTAAGTTTTGTCGAGATTTCATTTTTAATTGATCCCTTGTTCTTGCAATTTTAATTTTTAATATTTTGGAGCGTACAAATAATTAAAAAAAAATAAATATTGAGTTTACACTTTGCGCCATGTACGTCACAATACCCTTGCTGCGATCGGTACATTTTTAAAATCATCAACATTTTCAGAATTAACGTAGTTTGAGTATTAATTTGCAGTTTTAAAAAAATTAAAAACAAATTCACTAAATCAACATTAAAAAAATTTTGATTGGAAATCTAATAACACCATATTCTATTCTACACCCTTTGAAATGCCTACTACGACTTTTATTTATTTATTTACTTATTTTCAACTACTAAAACCTAATTTTATACGTAAAAAAAAATTAAAAACTAAAATTCTTTAGAGAAACCTTTTTATTGAAATGAAAACTGAGAGAGTGAACAAGTACTCTGTTAAGAGCCGCACTTCTCAAAATTCACCTGTAGACGGATAGATAAAAAAAACGTAAAAATTAATAATTTTTAAAAATGACTCATTTGCTTAATTTACATCGAGGATTGCACTGGATACTTTTCAATTTTTTATTTATTTACAATACACTCTAGCAGTGACTAACTCTAGGCTTAATGGGACAAATCGAACATGATTTTAAAACCACTAATAACAAAAAAAATATATATTCAAATATTTTTAATAATTAAAAATCTAAAAAATGAATCAAATTGAAATTTCCTACGTCAATTATTTTTACGTAAAGTTAAAAATTAGCACTTTAGCAGTAAAAAAAAATATTGAAACATTTCACATGAACAATAACCCTGCCTAATATAGGTATCGGCTTATATGGTTGGGTGACGTGAGCCATATAAAAGCATTGGCTTCAAGTTCAATTCTCTGGCGAGCAGCTTTTTTGCAGCACCCATTTGGACATTGAGTAAGACTTGTCCTCCTTCGTAAGATTTACCTTGTTATGACATGACTCATGTTGTGTTTCTTTCAAAGTACGTTAATCAGATATATTTATATCTATGTAATATTAAAATAACTAAGATAATTAAAAAATTAGGATGTATCCTTATTTTTTTTTTATTCAACAGGTACATGATTTATTTATATATGTCCCACTGAAGAGGAATTTTGCCTTAGTTCTGATAATATCATAAATACAAAAAAGTTTATGCAACAAAAGTTGTACTAAATCAGTTTCTCACATTTTCAAATATTTTTTGCTTATACAGAGATTACAGTTCACGACACGACACGAACAAAATGGAACATGTTGTATATATTATTACATTTTTTAATTTCCCCTTAATTTAACGCCTACATTGATATACATTAAAGAAGCTTGATCAGAATAACATTCTGCAGGTACCAAAATTCAGACCAATATTCAAGTTCCCACCATTTTTTAAATTATGGTTTCTATTGCATAGGGACGTTTTTTAAATTGTCTACTGTGATAATTTGCGTTTTCCTTGACAATCACACTGTTTTGAATAATATTGCGAATGCGAACTATCTTATTTACGAATTAATCTTCACATAACTACACTATAGTATCTTGACAGGAATTCAAATAGGGGTGTTTTATATTTTTAGCTGTCAATGAAGTGCATACAGTTTAAATTAGGAAGCCACAGATAATTGTTTCACCCTGTAAACATAAAGATAAGATTTCGTAATTACAATAAAAAACAATGAATTGACTGAATATGAAATATCCATAAATGTGACTGACTTTCATCTAATTATGTTTCCAAAATCATAGTTCAAATGGACCTAATATTATTACTGTGTAATATCAAATCTCTAACCATTATCGTTTTATTTCATTTTAGTTACATTTCCCAAATTTGTCATTTAGCTATTTTAGAAAAATCCATTTCTAAAAACAAACAAAAAATTAAACAAGCCATAATAATTAATAAAAACACTGTATTTGCTAACTTCAATTCTTTAACACTTCTTCTTTCCATGTTAGGTATAAACCAAAAGGAAATTGATTACTTACAACCACTAAGTATATATAATAACTATCGTGGTTCAGATAAACTGAGTTGATAAGTTCTGTGGTAAAAAATCAATTTGAAGAAAACAACAAATCTAGAAAATATTAATCAGTCAATTATCTAATAATTTAATTTGGTTATCACTTTCAAAGATATAAAATGTTTTCAGTTGTTAAAACCATTTCATTTTTATTATTTAAATAATAATAATAAAAATGGGTTAAACAAAATCAAATTATTTAAGAACTAATTCTGAATTTGATGACTCATAATATGTCTCAAATTTCACATTCCAAATTGTCTTCGATTAAATCTTAAAACTGCATCAAATAGCCTCAAAAAGAGGATAATTAGCCTTAAAATAATCAAAAGTTATGATTTCTATGCATTAGATAATATTAATGTTAATCTATTTAAAAATGTATTAATCTATTAATATAAAAATCTATAAAAAATTATTTATATTTGCTGTAATAGATACTGACATGATTGCAAAATATGGTGAAACTGATATGTACTTAATTGAGCAACTAAAATTTGTAAAACATTTAAAAAAAATTAATTTCAATATATATTTATTTTTCAACTTATATTACTCTGTACAAAATTTTAATCAAACTCGTAAAACAACAGCAGGTTATTAATTACATTGATGGACATATCTAAAACTATCAGCAACTAGATACTAAATCTAAATAGAAGAAAGCAATAAAGAAATCTAATTTTACTGAACAGGCTTAAATATTAAATAAAGACAACCTTGACAATTAAGTCATCGAAACTCTGCTTTTGAAACATCAAAAGGGATAATTAGCTTATTTATGTTCAAGTTTCCTATTTTTAGGTACAGGTTCCCAGATAAGACACATGAAAGTTTTAAGAACAAAAGATCGGTATAATTCTGTAGTTTGTTTACATACACATTTTTTTCAACACAGTGCCACACTCGGATAATATAAACAAGTACTTTTCTTTAGAACTGCAAATAATCACACGATAATGCATATATTTGATATGAAATAAATGGTCACGAAATTTTGAGTTTTATAATTTTATATTTACAAAACAAGTTATATGCCGTTATATATCCAACATATTTCAATAGTTCTACAACAATAATAATGGTAACAAATAACAAATTTTGTGTATATTTTCATTAAACTACTAATGAAATATATAAAATGTACAGGTTACAGAACTGCTTTATAGTAATAAATAGTACTCTACGTTTTAATTATAAGTAATGGTTACGGTTTACCTTGTAGTATTTAATAGTTACCATTAGGTACATGCATGTAGATATAAATACATTTATATTTATATGTCAATTATAGTGAAAAGTATACATATCCCCATATTCTAGATTATAACATTCACTATTTTCAAGAAGTATAGCTATCGAAAGGCTCACTTACCTCTTGTGACAAGTTTATTCCCACATCAACAGGGTTCAAAGCAGCGGCATTATCGTTGTCATCGTTTTCAGTTTGGTTTTGTTGTACAGCTGGTACCGGCAATGGTTCTGGACTATTTAAAGGGACACTTCGTTCGATGTTAAGTAAATATGCCGTTACGTCAGGGTGTCGAAAGCTTCCCCTGTTATATCGACCTAAGGAATTTAAATCAGCAAACAAATCTCTTTCATAGTTTAGTAGGACCGAGTCCAAGCTCTTTGGGTTGACATAGTGTGATCGTAACACTGCTGGTGTTAAACTCCTCCAACTGGTTCCATTGTCAAAATCTAAGTTATTAACACCTCCATATAAATCATTTTCATAAAAAGAATCCTGGTTCACTCTTAAGATGCTTAGGATTAATGCAAGTTGCAACAACTCGTCCCTATAAACTTTCTTCAAAGACAACATTTTTCTATTTATTTTTCCTTTAGTCAATGTCACATAACCTAAGAATACAAGTTAAATGTATTGTTTATTTTATTGTCCAATAACATTATCACGAAACACTGAAAACCCACATTTTGGAAGTTAATTTTTAGAACAAAATGTGCCAATATAGTTCTTTGTATATATACAAAACAAGATATAAATAATCAGCTGATGACTACCTAGAACATGACAGTTCACTAAACCGGCAGTATAACTTTTGGGTTAGGTTCAACAATCAAAATACATACACCACACAAGTAGGTATTTAGGACATTAGTTTTACTTAATTTTTACTGTATATCACTTTTATAACAACACATAAAAACAACTCAGTGGTTTGAGTGCTACAGTCGTAAAGTCGCCAAAATTGAAAACGAATGACAGTGCAAAATGCGCAATGTATTGAAATTTAGAGTGGGGATTGACGTGTTTTCAAGATATTATTCTCAGCTTTGTTTCGCTTTGTCTTATAGGTTTACTGAGGAGTGTATTTTTAAGACAGTATTAAACAATTTTCTAGGAAAATGAAATAAACATTCATATATTCACGAGACACGCGCATATTTCATATTCAAACATACGATTTTTCGATCAAATCTTGTATTATGGGGCGCTTCAGCAGGACAGATCCCAGATAAGATCTAAAAGTCGATGATATTGACCTCATTTACGCAAGTAGATTAATGCGTGCCATACACTAGTTTGCATTGGTTTTTTCTGAAGTAGTAAAATAAACAATAGATACATACCAATCATACCATAGAAAATATAGTACTACTATATTTTCTATGATACATACGCAGAAACAGAACAACTGTTTTGTGTGACTACATTGCCCATAAATAAGGAGGAAACAAACAGATAGAAAAAAAAAATAATGAGAACATTTCAGAATTTTTAATTTTTCATTTTCGGTGGAATACATTTGGAGCACGGGCGCCGTTTCGGGGGGGCATGGGGGCAGTTTTTGTTTTTAATGGATAGAAAATACTACGACCCAACATAACTATGTACCTATCCTAAAATTATTACATAGGACTTATATTTATTTGAGCAAGAACACTTTATCGTGTCCCATAAATACAGGGGCTTTGACTAGTATTGTGTATAGTAATCATTGATACTATAACAATTAATTGGGTTTTTTTGGCCGATGATACTAGAATTCAAATACAACCGTAAAAAGAAAAATAGCACAAACCTGTCCCAAGGATATCCTCCAGATATCTGATGATGGGATATACACGTATGGCCAAGGGATTTACGGTTTGGGCTATCTCTAGCCATATGACGTCTGAGGAATATATATCTAATATTACAAGTTACGATATCCTCCAGATATATCACCGTATGTCCCAGGGACATACAATATGCTATCCTCAGGACAGTATGAGGATGTCTGAATATTATGAAAGATATCCTCTGTATCCGGCATGGGCGTATCTAGAATATTTGCTTGGGGTGGGCCCATTTGCAAGTTCTCGGGAAACCTCTAAAAAAAGCTCTCGCAATCATCAACACGTTTTGATTTTATTTAAAAAAAAGGTCCAACGACCGTTATGACCAAGATGATAATACATATTAGATCTTTTTTTCTGGGGTGGGCCGTGCACATCCCTGCCTCCCCCCCCCCACCCCCCTCCTTCCTGCTACGCTCATGGCATCCGGGTGACAAATTTTAATTTTTAACGGTATAGTAAATATTGCCGTGGAATCCGATTGGCCGTAGGGTTCGACGCTCGCCGATAAGGGAATTTCCAGGTAGCTCGGGCGTCCCTCCTTGACGCTAATTCCACGCGTTTATATGGTGGGTAGGGACTAAAGTTTAGTGTCTGAGGCTTCCGTAGAGCGCCTATAAGGTCGGGGAGCATAAGGACATATTGCACAGCGCCTTGTTGGAGTGTGTGTGTATGGTAACTTTAGATGCTGATGTGCATGGCAGCTTAAAAGCTGGGTACCCTTCGATGATCTTTGCCGTAGGTAAGACGGACATAGGCGGGTAATTTTAGTAACTATGTGAACTTGGAGCTATATGTAGCAATTTTTTAGAGATAATATAACTGAAGAAATATTTTGTTGATTATTTTGGGTTAATAACAATAAATGAGTTCAATACATCAATGTGACATAAACAATGCATACAATTTGGAGCGAGTACAAACTCCGGCTTTTACGAATATCCTTTTTCTAATCTGGTTACGAACGCTGGTTGTAGTTACTGAAGTGGCAATGGATCAGGTTGACTTCGATATGGCAGCTCCACAGGTGATTTTGCTACGTAGTCCGATTTAGTGTGGCATCATTTTCGGTTTTGAATTTCACCGCTCTTTCGATTTCTGGCCACTGAGGTGTACCATGAATCTGATCTCATATCGGTTTCTTCATAGTGATAGTGAACCACCCAATTTGGACTAATATTCGATAATTTTTTAGGTCCCCGAAATCCGAACTTAAAGCGATTTTTCATCCATGGCATCGCATCTTTGGCAACGGTTGTGCCCATAGCTTCGGTCTTTCTTGATGTTGTCTGCTACAGCGTAAAGTCCTTCGGTACATCGATCGGGTTCGAGGTTCCGATTGGAAACATCAGTGAATTTTTGAAATCTGCTCGGGACCTATATTATGACACTATATCAAACCTATTTAAGTATAAATATTTTTGTTACAAATTTTTCACATAAATAAAATTTTATATTTCCGAAATTTATACGTTCTTGTAAAGAATTAGGTATTTTACATTAATATTTAAATTAGACATACTTTTCTGACATATTTTAAATAATCAGAATATCAAAAGTTAGTCAGTCAAAAAGTCGAAATTATATTAGCAGGTGGATATTTGAATATCAAAAATATTTAATTTGAAAACTAAATGATTTGTTATATGGACTTGCAATTAAATAAATTAAATTTTCAATCAATTTCATGAAATACCAAACTCTAATATGTGGGCTGAGTTAAGAGAGAAGACATACGGTCAATGTCCTGGGATATGTGCCATATGAATATATCATGTGCTATCCTGTATGTAGCGTATAGGAAAGCGCCGATGGTCTATCACAAGTTACGTGAGAGCGATAAAGTATGACATAGAAATCCATGCGATAGAGAAGGATGGCTATAATTAAGGCGTATCATAGTCAACGCCCATTTCGCCCTTCCACAAATAAGAAGTGGATCTTATTTGTGGAAGGGCGAAACGGGCGGTGACAAAGAGAAGCCTTCATTATAGCCATCCTTCTCTATCGCATGGATTTCTATGTCTTACTTTATTGCTCTCACGTAACTTGTAATAGACCATTGGCGCTTTCCTACACGGTATGTGCGTATACTAAAGTAACTTGACCTAAATTTGCTTATATCCATCATACCTTTTTGAAGTAAAGCTCATTATTCTCTTCTGGGCACACTATCTATATTACTAAGTAAAAGCTGGTTGACTTTGTTTCAACGATTTCAACAACAGTATCTTTATTTATATACGGCATATACCTTAAAAACTCTAACTTCAATTACTGCAAATAAAATTTCATTTAAAATTTTATAGTATAGTTTTTGAGCCCTGTACCTCAAAAACAAAACACCCATGGCCTATTAGAAAAAATTGTATTATTTTTTGATATTCTATCAGCCCCTTAATTTATGGTACCTTTTCAAAAACGCCCTGTATTGTGATGTGTCATATGCGTTTTGGGTATAAATATGGTATAAATATTTCGATGCTAAAGGCGAATTTACACGATGCAATTTGGATATACATCCAGGATGATTCGTCTAAACTAAAGTGAAACCTTAGAGCAGTAGTATATGCTCTAAGGGTGAAACCGGTAGTGAAAAGGCAGAACTGTTTATCTTGGATGAAATGTTATTCAAATTGTTTTATTTTTAATGAATCATCCTCGATGTACATTCAAATTGCATCGGGTAAATTCGCCTTAAGAGAATCGAATACGCCTCTCATTCGCAATGGTGGTAGCACTGTTTTTATTTTTCTTGACAGTAAAATTCTGTGCTTTTCTGTGACCATGCCATGTCATGTTTTGTTTGTTTATGTTAAGTTTTATTTTTTCAATTTTGACTTAAGTTCTAAGTTTTCGTGACAAAGTGAAAATTGTTGGACTCCTTTACATACTAAGTACAATATGAAATTAATCTCGACACAATGGATATATATAAAAAGATCCTCTTCGATACTTTGATCTTCCTAATTTTTACTAATTTATCTTGTGGTTCTGGTCTTGATGTTAAGGAAGTTGCGAGAAATCTTAGTGAAGATATAAAACAAATAAAAAACAATGAATTAGGGGTACCTTTTATTTTGGTATGTCATAATCATTGTTTCGGTTACACATTAACCCGAGTTTTTTCAGAAATTATATAACAATTTTATGTACTTACCTGGTAGTGTTGATGTTCAGAAAAGTATCCAAGTTATGCTATACAAATTGGAATCTAAAATAAATGATATATTTTCCGGATTAGATATCATCCAGGATATAGTTGAGTCGAGAAACATTAGTTTATCTTCTGCTTTGATGCCTTGTTTTCGAAAGGACTCTAGTCAGTTGGTTGTGGATACTACTTTTATTGGAAATAAAACAGTGCTTCATTCTTTAGGATCCAGATACGGTAAGTAGTTAGATTTAATACTGCACAATTTGCTTCATATACAACCTGGGTCACTTATAAATGACACTAATAATCACGTACTTTATATATTTTATATTATACATATTCTTATATGGTATAGAAATTCCTAAATTTTTACTTTATTAGTATATAGTTACTTATTGATACCTATGTAATAAGTAGACATCGGAAACTTTGTGGTGAGAATCAAATAAATAAACAGTAGCAATCTATATTATGTTAATAAACGGCAATACACATTGTAATAGCAGAGACAGGCTAAATCTGCGGTCAACCCATGTGCCTCTCAATGCTCATAATACACAATACTAATTACTTCCACAAAAAAATACATGTCGTACACTCGATTAAGTAAAACATCAAACTCACTCACACATGCATAAAAGACAATGAATTGCACGGTCAACTTCTCTTAGCAAAAAAGCCGGTACGGTTCACTGGCATGCTAGACTGACAGGGCAGGTATAACACGGCGTCCTGGGTAAGCGGCGACAAACGTACCCTACCTACAGTTTGTACGATATTTGTTGAGAAAGAATTCCATGGCGTGTTTCTTCGTAAGTGTATCGTCCTGTGCATTTTCAATGTAATTTCTTATTAAAATAAATCAATGGAGGTGAAAAATAAAATGGAGGAATTAGTCAAAAAGTATCGTGTTTATATTTTAATATTCTGAAAATAACTCGGAAAATTTCAAGGCATACTTACCCCTGCTGCAATAAATTTAAGTTAGTTTTTGTACTAAGTATTCTAACATTTATGCATTATTAAAAGAAGTATGACATCCTCTTTGTACTAGTAATGTCACCCGGGACGTCAGTAAGTAATTATTGTAGTTTTGTTAAATAATACAGTGAAAAACTACCATACATAAACTTTACACACATGGTACAATACATCAAATTTTACTTTTTTGCACCAATATGTAGTGTAAGTATTTTATAGAATAGTGCAGAAAATAAATTGTTTATGTTGCATTTTGTCTGGTAGACAGTTCACCTTGCTGCCCTTTAAACTGTCAAACTGATAATTATTCATTAATAATTTAATACAGCTAAATTCTTAAAGAATGGGTATATGACTTTAATCTGAATAAATTTTGTTTCAATTTAGGCCCTAGTATGTAAAATAAAATACATTAGGCACTAGTGCAGAAAATAAATTGTTTATAATTCAATGTATAACATATATTTTTCAGTAGTAGGAAAAGCATTTAATGCAACACATACACACACACTAGTGTGCAACACATACACACACTAGTGTATAAAGTAAAATATTAAGTTCATGCATAAAATGATTTGTTTGTAATTCAATGTATAATATTTTTTTCGGTAGTAGAAAAAATATTGAATGCAATTCATATGTGATACTTTTTTCACTTGGAACTATAAAAAAAATACTTGCTTGTTATTTTTATTATTTTTTACACACTATTGCAAGGAATACTACATACACGTGAATCGTTTATGATTCAATTTATAACAGTATTTTTCAGTAGTAGAAAATTGAATGCAACTCACGTGTAAAGTATATTTTTTCACTCGAGACTATGAAAAAAATGTTACTTTATATGTTTCTTCCTTAAATAACTAAGTTATTATTTTCTTGCTAATAAAATTGTGTAAATTTTAAGTCAAACTTCAATTTTTATTTTACATCTATCTGAAGCGTCAGATCTAATGGACGTTTCTATTTTTGGTGTAATTTTAGTTTTAGATAAAATGAAGAGAAGCGTTGGAACAACATCCGGAGCGATAAAAAGGCAGTATATTATCAGTGATTTTGAAATTCGCAGTTTGGAGTATTCCCCATTTTTTTTATGCCACGAATGTGATGAAACCATATTATGGGAAAATTACATGCACAGAAAGAAATATCAGTTAAAAAATGTAGTGTTAATTTTAGACAATGGCGGTTCAATAAATCATTCTCAGCTTCATGTACTTAAAACATTTGGTAAATTATTTTCTGTGAAACAATTGCGTTTGATACATAATCTTTTTTTTGTTTTAGCCAAAAGAGTTATATCATTTTTGACAAGTAAGGATCGCATTGCCCTTATAACTATTAATTCAAATTACACATACTTTAAAAACGACTGCGACTATACCAAGGAACTATATGACACAATTCATCTAGAACATGTTGATTCATCCTACAAGAAGGCATTAAATAACTACATCGACACTCTTGGCTCAGATAATAGTGCTACAAATCATTTGTTGGGTATCAAAAAAGGACTAGAAATTGTGTTGAGACAAGCCAAAGTAATTAAAAATGAAACTGTCATGATACTGTACGTAAGTCGAGGTTTATTATCTTCACTGATGGAGCCGAAAAGTGTTTTGGAAGCTGTTGCCAAATTCACAGACAGACATAATGTTTCTTTGGTTATTAACACTTGTGCCATATCTGGCGGTAAGTACCATTTATCATAAATTTATAAAATAAATAATTATTCCTTTAAATAATTTAATTAGGTTTTTGTAACTGGCTGAGGTACTAAAATTAATTTTATCAAATTAATTAATTATCACAATTAATTACTTATAATCGATTATTATATAATTATATACATAATTAATTATATTTATCAATTAAATTTTAAATTAATTTGATGTTTAGATTTTACGCCAATGTACGAACCACAGTTCCTACGAGACATGGCAGAACAGAACTATAAAAAATACAACATTAGTTACAAACCAAGTCTATTTCGTAGTACTGGAGTCATGTTAACAATAAATAATTCAAGAAGCGTTCCATTTGCTGTTCATCAATTTTATAATGTGTTCAATCACGAGTTAATGTTCGTTGCAGAAAAGAATATTTCTTTACCGAATTGGGATGCTAGTACTGGAGGTAATTCATGAACCATCTTTTGTTAATTTTTTTAATGTTAACCGCTTTGTAGAATTAACTGTGTCAGTTACGAAAGGAGTTTTAATGGAAAATCAATTTTTTCTTCTCGGAGCCGATATATTTTTTGAGAATTTAGTGGAGGACATAACATACTACAGAAGTAATCAAGATGGCACCTATGCTTTCCTAATGGACCTTGAAGGCAAAGTTCTTATACATCCGTCATTTTTAAAGCCTGTGCCTCATAGCCATCAAATACTATTTGTGGATATAGAACAATTTGAAAAAGTAACTGATGTGCATATTTTGCGGAAAAGGCTTCTCACTGAGGAAAAGGGAGTTCATGATACGTTTAGATATAACAGTTCGGATTTGGTAAGTATATTATTTCAAATTATCAAAAAGATGCAATAATTTTTCACAAATTTGAAAAAATCTGAAATCCACCAAATTTTTTAGGTCAAATATACATGGAGTAGAGTAAGCAGCTATTATGTTTTGTGTCTTGTAACAAGTACTAAGTATGGCAAATTCCATAAATCTTATAAATCCCGATGGTATCAGAGTTCTTCGAAGAGTAAATTCTTGTATCACAATTTAGAGGATTATAAGTTGTGTCGTCACATGAATTTGTTGGCAACAATCGGTAAGTACTATTTTCTTGCCTTTATTGAATGGAGGTCATATTTATAAGGAGGCTGTCTTAGACATTTAGAAACACGTGATAACTGTTTTCCAAACTTCGCTATGAAAACTATTTTTTTACCTTTAATTTTTTTTTATTTTATTTTCGCACATTCTTCTTCATATTCTTCCTTGTTTCATGTCTGTTTTTTTTCATGTTAGGCCATTGTCAATTAACATTGGTCATTTGATTTTTACCCACCTAGTGCCGTATTGTCATATCACATCAAGTAAATTGTTATGTAGTTCTCCTAAACTAGGTCAAAGTTAGAGGTCATTGATACTGAGATCGATAAACTAAGCAGTGTTTAAAAACAGTAATATACTTTGTTCAAAAATTTGTTAAAAATATTTCTTGAAAACATTTGAAAATGTTTTTTAATGTTCGATGCTTCGTCTGCATTTTTGTTCAAAATAACATGTTGCAAAGCCATCTGTTTTTATAAAATTGTTCCACTGCGGTTCCTCTTTCAGCCCTTCGTTTGTCACAGTTGGTTTAAAACGAGGTTCAAAAAAGGTAACAAGAGGCAACATTAATAAGCACACACATAACAGCCGAGGTGTTGCTCAGTGGTGGCATAGACGAAAATTTATAAGTGGTTTAAAAAACGAATTTATTTGATTTAAAAAAAAATCTTTTATATTACTGTTTTGGGCAACACATACTATAACTCCTAAGAAATTGACCTCCACTTAGTTACACCCTGTACAAATATTGCCATATTCTTTTTCCCCTATATTCTGCTTATAAAATAGAGATTTTCTTGTTTTATCTGATATGAGGGAGATACAAAATATGTATTTTCAGTTATCCGAATCACCTCTCATAACATACAAAAAAAAATATCAGCCTCAAATTTTATGTAAGTTGGTGTTATTGACCTTTCTATTTTCTGTTCCGTCAGATAAATTATGTAAATAATGTAACGCTAAACTAAAATTTCTTAAAAATAGTTTGTGTTTAAACTATGCTATTTTTAACTTTGTTATATAGAAAAGAATTTTATGTTATGAGAAAAATGATTAACCTCACGTCCTTGCCAAAATTTGCGATCTATTCTTAAAGAAACCTTTTACAGTGTAATTAATTAAAGAATGTTTTCTGGTATTACTTTAGAAAACAGACAAAAAATAGTTTAGATATTTTAGGATCGATTTTCAAAAGAAATTGAGCAGAGAAAACTGCACCTTAATATATCGTGATTTATTTAATAGATGTTTGACATTTTTCATTTCACATTATTTTAAAATGTACATTTTTATATTTTTATAATTCAACAGTTTCTTGACAATGAGCAACTTGCATTTATTTTTTAAATGTCTAGAAATAATTTATAACTATATAATTATGTAGGTAGTGAAAATATTAGAAATCTCTTAGAGGCTGTTGGGTTCTGTCGCGTCGCACTAAATGACAATGCAATTCACTATTTGTCACAAAATTTATATTTATTTTTATATAATTTTTATAATTAATTTGTAGCATTATAAAATTATTTTTTTTACCAGTGTTAGTTGTTGTCGGTTATGGACTACTTTCATCCCTATTATTACGTAGAGGCGTATGTGTATATCTATTTCTTGGATTATACGCCCCTACGTGATAAGAGGGACGATATGCTGTACTTAAAGAAATTAAATTTTCGTACAGGTTGTCTTATTAAGAGTGCCGTGGATGTATTAATGAAAAAAAAGTATATATATAACATATAAAACAATTGAATCGTAACAAAATAATTTTTGGTGCCTGTACCAAAAAATGTGTAAATATGAAATTTTAAAGAAAATTTGTTCGAATTTTTTGAAAAATATGTATATCACTGCATACTGAATAAAAAACAACCTCTTTATAAAAATCACAAATGAAGTTGTGAAAATAAGTCAAAAGTGAAGAAGACCCTACATCTTTTAAACAAATCAATATATTCAGATGCAATTTTTGTCGTTAAATTTTTTACAAAAGTCGCATGTTGTTACTGCTCTCCCTATTATCTTGGAGATTATGAGAAACCCCTCAAAAGTGTTAAAATTAGTCTATCCCGTATAGTTTGCCAAAAAAATTGCAATGATAGAAAAATGTTTATTACCGAGGCCGAGAAATTTTCCAACTTTTTTTATTTCATCACAAAATAGGTTAAATATATGGTCCTATGTTTTGTTTTTTTTTTTATTTTGATCTCAAGTCCTAAAAAATTAAAATATCTTCTTTCAATTGCGAAAGACACCATATCATCCACTAGTGGAGGATGCGGATGCGGAATCATTGCATTCAATTTAAGCTATTTCTCGATCAAGTTATTTTACTTGTTTTTTTTATTTTTTGACTTCTCATTAACAAGATTTACGAAGCCACTTATTCATTTTTTCAGATGTAGCATCTCTATACCTCAGCACGTCTTGTTTCCAATCACCATTCACTGCCTCTCGGATGATTCAAGATAGATTAACTAGTCAGGGCTATTTGGCATATATAAAAGACGACACTAGACTGTTAGCCAATCCAGGCCTTAAAGACGAAGTTAGGGATGAAGTATCAACTCTCTCGCATCTTCTAGATTTTCTGAGAAAAAAGCAACTTTCTTCGCCATTATCGAAGTATATCGTCCGGCGATACGCTTCGTCTTACACTGGCGTATTGCAGATGTTTCCAGGAAGTGTTCTCCGACAAGGAATACAACCAACGAAGAGACCGTGGTTTCTCAAAGCCTTACAACACAGAGATAAGGTTATTCTTATCCCTCCGTATCTAGATAAAGGAGGTGCAGGGTATATCGTTACTGTAGCGTATGCTACATCTCAGGTAGTCGTAGCCATAGATTTTACATATGGCTACATGTTAAAGTTACTTTTAAGTCACATGCCTACATGTCTAAACGAAAAGATAACGTGTTTCTTGATAGATGATCAAGGATACATCGTTTACCACCCCAACTTAATGGACGTAAACGGCATGAGGCCCGTCGTTGAACAGCAGCACATAGTACATAAGGAGTCATTGGTATCCAATGATATATTAAACCACAAGCATTTCATTAAGAAAATATTATGTAATAATTACAGTGATAATACCATTCAGCGATATTACCGACTAAACACCAGTTTCACCGATGTTTTGGTTAATTTCGTCCCTGGAGAGCACTGCGTTACTTATCGGATAACCTCGGTGCCGCACACGAATATTTTTATAGGTGTTGTGAACGCTTCTTGTGATTTTCTCGCGACTTTTTGTCCGTGCAGTATCGTTGATAGACTGTGCTTGAATTGTAACCGCATGGAGCAAAAGGAGTGCGAGTGTCCTTGTGAGTGTCCTTTGGATGACGAGAATAATGTTTGTGGAGATGTTTATGCAAATATGACTAATAATCCACCTTGTACAGGGTATATAGACGAATCGTCTTTGGAAACGAGTTTTACAGTCGATACAGAAAATCATTTAGAACCTTGCTTTCCTGTTAGTTGTCAGTCACAGAAGTTGTATTTGGATTGTTTGGGATTGGTGGGTTGTGAGTGGTGTAGGTACGATATGGAGGGGAACTATCTAAGAAAGCCTTTTTGTGGGATGGTGAACACTTGTTTTAACGGTTTTTTTGATATGACAACTTCGTACACAGGAAATATCGCAGTAGACTCCGATTATTCTCCCGTAGGGCCTATTTTAGGGTCGATTATAGCCATGTGTATTTTATTTATACTGTTATTTATTTGTTATCGTTCGTATACTAATCCTTTGACAGAGAGGCTTTACTTGTCTTCCACCCAGGATCAACTGAGGATGAGTGATTTGAATATCAACGATACTTTTCACGATTTGGGTAATTATAGAGATAAGCTTTTGCAGGAAGATAGCCCTAATGTAATCTCACCGTATTGTATGGCTAGTACTTACAAACAAACCCCAGTGGCAGCTGATTCCGATCACGGTTATTCTACAATGACGCCTCATGACGAGTCCGAACATCTTTCTTTGGCTCCTGTCGAAGTTGAGTCGTTAGAGGATGATATTATGTCCGACAGTACTTCGATTCATACCAGTATCTCCGCCAGAGATGGCTCGCACAAAGTATCCCCCATGTATACTAAAATTTCAAATAAAAACTGTATCATCGTGCCAGTGACTGTACACAGGAATATGGAGAAAACTTGACGTTGCACTTAAATACGTATGTATTTATTAAGTTGTGTTTATATGTAAATTTGTGTATTTTTAATATAAAGTGTATTAATAATTTTTGTACCTATATATCTTGCCAATGCCACTTTTTAACGGAATCAATTTTACCTGAATACAGTATTTGTAAATATTTGTAATTTATGGAATATATTTTTAATACAGATTCTAGCCTGCACCTTTTAACAAGGCAGTTAGTTTCCTTTTCCTTTACGAATATTGGATTACTCTATTAATGCAGCTTTAATGTTAGTAAGAGAGACAACCCTCAATCAGTCAATTAAACGGGTTCAATTTTCATGAATCTGGAAACGTCAGGGAAATAGTGAAATTCACAAATTTAAATGTACTGGTCAATTTTTTTATGTAGAAGAAAATTACATAATTAGTCAAAATTAAAGATAATACATTTTTCAAAAACTTATTGGCCAGAATCAGTTTTTATTTATTTTGACTAAATGTGCAGATTGAAATAAAGTTAATATTAAAAAGAAAAATGAAATATGACAGGTTTTTCTTTTATTTTTTCAATTGCTTTTTAATGATGTGGCTTTTATTTCTACCTTGAGCTCCGTACAGTTTTTTGGAATAAATGGAGTAAATATTGACTCCCATAATAAAGTTTGTAACAATTTTACGAAAAAGATAATTGCTAATTTTGTACACTATTATCAAAATTCTAGTAGTATTAAATTTAGGTACAAACCTATATTTTTTATTTTAGCCGATACATAAAATGTCATTTTCTACAAAATCAAAAATCTTGTATGTCTAGAATGCCCTTATTTAGTATTTAGACGATCCATTTTTATGGTGGCCATTGTATAATTTTTTAACATTTTTTTAATTAAGTTTTTTTTTTATCAAAATTTTGTATACACACATCTGTATCACTTCTCCTTTGATGTAATCTTCTAATTTCGATTTGACCAAGTTGTTAAACATTCGCAATCGCAAGAATATCATGTATTGCATCTAAGAAAGCTGCTGTTTCTGATGTAAACTGCTAACTGATTCGAGTAAACAAAGAGCGACCGAAAAAAAGCCTAATTTTTCGCCCCTTTGTGAGACCTCGTAAATTTACTCCAAATTTGTGCCAAAAGATAGTCTATGATGAGACTTGAATTGTCTATAAGTTTTAGCTTGAGGCTACATTTCGTTTTCGAGTTTCGGTTGATTATAGTTGTCATTTTTACATGGATTGTTGGAACGAGGTTACACCGCTAATAAAAATCGCTTGTACTTCACATGTGGCATATGTATTCCGAAGTACTTTTTCGCGCTGAGCACGAATTTGCTATTAGAATTGCTTCATCACCCTTCGGTCTTCATGAAATGACTGAAAAGCTTCAGAAAAATGAAGAATTTCGAAGATAGATTAGGAATTTGTGATTAATACTCATTTTTTTTTCATGGTTTCGTTATTAATCCCTCAATTGAGCTTGAATCTGACGTGATACAGGTCAACCAACTACTGAATTGAAATTAGAGACTTACATACTTCCTTCAAAATGGCGATATATCTTGCTCATATAACATAATAAACCAACAATCCAAGATTAATTCTTTGACGTCCAAATGACCTGTAGTCATAGAGATTAACGAACCTTTGATTTTAAATCAATGATTTCGTCAACCTTTCTGGGAAATGTTTCTGAAGACCTTTCCCAGAATCTGAAGTCATAGAGATTAACGAACCTTTGATTTTAAATCAGCGACTTTGAAAACCCTATAACAATCCATGTAAAAATGACAACTTTAATCAACCTTAACTTGAAAACAAAATGCAGCCTCAAGCTAAAACTTATAGACGATTCAAGTCTCATCATAGACTATCTTTTGTCACACATTTGGAGTAAATTTATGAGGTCTCACAAAGGGGCGAAAATTTCGGTCGCTCTTTGATTTGAGTCTTTACAGAAACTACATTACTTTGACAGCTGTAGCCTTAAGGTAAGTACATAATTACAGATCTGTATAATGTTAGTCTTTTGTTTAATGTAAATAGTAAGGAGCCATCCATAAATTACGTAAGATTTTTAAGGGGGGGGGGGTCAATTTTTTCTTACGATTTCTTATAAAGGGGGCGGGTGGGGGTGTCAAAGTCCATCTTACGTAATGTTTTTTAAATTTTTTGAATCTAAAAAATCAAAAAATTAAGCAGATGAATCGATTAGATCTTTAATCGTGTTAGATCTTTGTGAATTAATTTTATTACATTATTACAAACTAGCAATATTTAATTATACAATTAATAGAAGTTGAGTAGTGAAAAGTAATATAGAATTGAATAACTTTGTAAGTATGTATAACAGCTTAGTCTCCATATAGACAAGCGTGATATAGATATATATTTTATGTAATGTAGCGCACAGTAATGCATTTTATGTTTAGGAATTCCTAAGAACCGTGTGTTACACTTAACACAATAAAACAATAATAAAATGCAAAATCTTCGATTTGTACAAAAATTACGTAAGGGAGGGTAGGAGTTGCGAAAAATCTTACGATTCCTGACAGGGGGGAGGGGAGGGGTAAAAAGTCATCAAAAAAAATCTTACGTAATTTATGGATGTCTTCTAAGAGCATTTTGCATTCTGATATGTAATAAATATAACGCAACCAAAAATTACTAGGAAAACAATTTAATCTAACTTGTACATACTTAAAGCAACCAACTTGGCAGAAAAAAAAAGCTGCTGGACCAACTGTCAATTTTCTCATTTTGAGTCGTAACATTAGATGACGAATAAAACTGCTTTTTCGATTAAAATACTTTATTATATTTACATTTTTACATATAGTTTTAGAATATTCCTTTTAAAAATACTTAATAACATTAAAATTTATAGTTTCATACAACAGCAGTTTCTTATTTTAAGCCTCAGGAGGTATGATGTTTCGGAGGGTGAAGACAAAAAAAATTAAAATTGTTTCCCGAAGTACTTTGCAGGTGTTTATATACAATAAAAGTTTTAACTATATTGAAAAATATAATAAAAATAGAAGTATCTGCATAATATAGGTTGGTGTACAAGAAAAATATAAACATATTATATATATTTAAATATTGCACTCTGTCAAAAAAATATTGGTTCTAAAAATATTGCGTTTTGATAAATCTAAACATCCACTACTTTCAGGCGTACATTTGGTGCAGCCCAACATAAATAAGTTTGCGCTTCTGATTCAGGCAGAGCTGCGCAACGCATTCGGTTTGAATAAGATGTAAGCGCAGCGGTTTGGAATAACGGCTCTGTAGTTGCCTTGCTGTGTCTACTGCACATTTGTGGGCAGAGTTATCTCAGACGCAAACTTATTTGTGTCGGTCTGTACTTGTTTACATTTGAGAGAACTAGATTATCCAAATGATCCTCGAGAAATGTTTTTATATCAATTAGCAATTGTTGCTTAGATACAGGGACGTTTTTGGCTAAGGGCATAGGGGCAATTGCCTGCGGCTTCTGAAGGGCCATCCCTCTGGGTGTTTTGCCGACATCTTACATTTACTAACAGGATGCATAATTTAGAAATACGTCCCTGCTTCCATATTACCCAAAAGTTTTTTAAATTTAAATGTGATTACTAACAAATTGTCTTTTTAGTCAGCATTAGACTGTTATTATTTTAATTTCTAGTTACCAGTTCCCTCATGTTTGTGTTATAGATTTACATAACATCAGATTTTTATTTCAATAGTTTTTTTAAACACGGAAATTATTCCCATGAATTTAAATTATTTTCATATCTGCATGTCCTGGAATAATTAAGTATGATTAGGAGCAATAATTCATAATAACATTTTTCTTCTATATATGAGGCATCTTAGAACAGCAAATTCAACAAAACCAAGACAAAACTAATACCTTTGTAAATATAAATAGGAGACTAAAAGTAGCCTAAGGCATATGGACTATAAAATGTAAACATTTTTGTAAAAATAAATATATCCATTTTACTGAATTTGCTCATTCCACTTGGAAAGTTCTTTTTAAATAAATAAAATATATAAAATCACAAAGTAAGACTTAATACTAAAAAGGTACACTAACGGTTTTCAAAACCACATATTAAGGCACCAGTTCCTTTGATTTAAAATTAAAAAAAATAGTTTCCTAATGTATAGCAGATCGTAAATTGCCTTCCCAAGCGTCTTGTTCATTTTTCTTTGCTAATTTCTTCAGTTCTAAAACAAGTTTTCATTTAATCTAACAAAATACAAAACTAAAATATATTTACCTTTTGCCATCTTAAGATCATTTCTCTCTTTTGCGTTTTGTTCTTTGCTGATTCTACTTTTTGTACCTAAATGTGTAGTAATAAGTCTTCTAGCAGTTTGTAGGTTGGTTTGAGGTCGCTTCATGGCTGGCTTCAAATCATGTTTATATGCCATTTCTAGAGATACACCGCTAGCCACAGTCATCGGTCGAACTTTAATCAGTGGATTATCCAATTCAATAGCCCTCTGAGCTAAAAAATATGAGTAGTTAATATTAGAAAAGTTGGCAATAATGTAGATATGCAAATATTTTCGCAACACTATATACCCACAGTTTTTTTTTTGTTTTATCACTTACCTTGTTTAAGAGAGCCCAGCACAAGAATAGCATGCGTATCATCGACCCATTTAACGTACATGGCTTCACTGTTAATGACACTGAAAGCTTGAATTATATCGTGTGTTTCTAATGTAGGCGGAAAATCATACAGTTCGACCATGTGTTCTAAATCTTCCGACTGTTTGGTAACATATTCCGAGTAGTCTTCCTTTGCTCTTAAAATAGTAAAGTCTGATCCTACTTTGTGCACAACCTAAAACGTGAATAAATGAAAAAATAATTTTTTTTTTTTACATTAAATTATGGGTCAGAAAAATTAAAACTCGATTATTACCTACCTCTTTAAATAAGTCATCTTGCAACTGTCCGTCATCATCGAATAACTCCTCCCAATTGTTAACATTATCATTTTTATCAATTTTCAACATATCAACGGTATCATCAACATATTTCATTATCGGTCGGGATTTTCTGTTAATATGTTCTTTGGTTTTTCTCATAATTTCCTTCTCTTGTTCGTGCTCGCTAGATTTTTTTGGAGTTTTAATTAATTCATTTGTCATATTATTGATCAAATCATTTCTCGTAACATTTGTATTAGTCGATGTGTTCTTATTGTTATTTTTTTTTACTGTGAGGATAGATGTATCCTCCGTCCTTTCTGCTAAAGTTTTATCTTCTAGGACTATAACAGTATTATTTATTAACGGTGTTAGTTTTTGGTCTACTGGTAAATTGCTTTCATCCTTAAAGCTAGAAACGATTCTATTGTATACGTCTTTCTTTTTATCCAAGTACTAAAACAAAAATTATTTATGAGTATATTTAGGAGACAATGATGTATATTATGGGGATATTGTAAACGGTGAGAGATAGGGTGACTCAAATTTAAAAACAATAAACCATTAAGGACCACAGACTGATCTCGGATATATTTTTTAGTTTCTGAGATATATGGAAATTACAAGTTTTTAATTTTTCCATTTTATTTGTTACTGTTCTGATGTGATCAGAGCGAACACAAAATATGGCAAATCAATTTCATTTTTGTGTTTTCAAAAATGGCCCGGTAACCAATGTGTTAATTTTGGTGGTTTAATTAAGTTTCAGATATATTTCAGTTATCATCCACATCTTTTTTTAAACATTCTAGGGCCAAAGAAATCTCAATATATATTAACCCTTTTTATAATGGGATTTCTTCCAACTTCAACTATATCAGAACTTTATTTACATTCTTAAAAAGATTAAAATATGTTGATATGTCATTAAACAAAAATTTTGAATCCAATGCCAAATGTAGTAATTTTTTGATATTTTAGTCATTTGCAATGGCAGCTCCAACATCACTATTTTCCTATTTCTATTCTGGTGTTGTGCCAGATTCATCCACTAAACCGACATAAATAAGGCTAATAGCTAGAATCTGTTTAATAAAATAATATCTCGTTGCAAATTGAAGAAATTAATTTGGGAAATATTATCAGACCCTTAAAATATTAATTAGGTGTCCAGTTATCAAAATTTTAAAGTAATTAATTAATTGGTACTTTAGGTGTATAAATTATGAAATATATTACTTTTACAGGTATGTTTTGCTAATGAAGAATCGTCTAATTTGTGACAAATCGCCCCTAGTGGGGGATGTGAAATCATTGGATTTATAGAATCCTATCCTATCTGCCACAAGCATTTAATAAATTTCCTAATTTTTTGCATAGTGGTGTCACACATGTAAAATTTTAAATTAAAATAAGATAAATGAAATATTTTTAATAAGATATGGGACAATACTGCCATACTAGGGAATTTATCCCTAGTTTAGAGTTTTTCTGTCTATAGTCGATATTCACAATAGCATATCAATATTTCAATATTTTTTCATTTTTTTAATATTAACATGCAATATGTGGTTAATAATTTGTTTCTTGCTTTTATGCTTTTTCTATACATATTATTTATGTGTATATATGTATTTTTTTCTCCAGAAGGAGGAGAATCTTAGGGAATTCTAGTTAATCTAAGAACAATCAAAATATAGGGAGTTGTTGGAAATTTTTGGTTAATATTTAGGTACCTACTGATTTTTAAGACAAGTAATCTGGCATCACTGAATGTAAAGTACGTTTTTTACAGTTAATAATAAGCTACCATTCGTTTCTCCCTATATAAAATTTAACTATTTTACCTATTCTACAGTTGAATAAAGTTCATTAAAACTAAATACAAATACAAAGCATTTTTATTTTTATTTCGACAAGTTTATTCACTGAATGTTTTCTCATGTTAGCAAAGGCTGAAAAGTTTTAGTCTATTTTATTTAAAGAGAATCGTAAGATTCTCACAAAAAATGTGTGGTCAATTGTAAACAACTAAAACATACTAATAAAAGGAAAGTTAGATCTCAAAAAAGAATCATTCTTCAATGTCATACTACTTTCCATCAAATTTCTAATTTAAATAATTGAATATTTAATAATGTAGAAACATTTTTGAAATTAAATCAATTACCGAGTCAATTACTAATTATGGTTCAGTATGACGAATGTACGATTCAAATAAATAATAAATTTATTAAATATCATAATTTTGCATATCCTATATTTTGAATAATTTATAATAACAATCTGTTCACAAGAATTAGTGCATAAGTTGGAGACTTGTGCAGTGGAGAAAAGGTGACATATTACTGTCTTAATTCTTTGTGTTCCTCTTTACCCAAAAATAAATAACGTGAATTAAGTAAACTTACACATTTCCAAATATCATGCACTTCTCCACACTGGTAAAAATAATTACTCCCATTTTCACTGCTTATAATAAAATTATGGCCACAATTAATTACAGACAAATCCACAACAACATCACTTTCACTGACACACCGATTTTCATCCCACGATATTCTAAAAACTGCATGCTCCAGGTCATCGAAATTTCTCAAAACATTTTTATAAATGGTTTTCAACTTGTCATCTCTGTAATAACCAAGGACTGGCATTTTCTTTTGCAATTCACACTCACAAGGCTACAAAAAAAAAATCGGAGTTATATGTCTTGAAATATTTTAAAATTTACATACCATTAATGGTAGCTCCTTGAAATTATACAACGGATATGTTCTTGAACTGTCACTCGAGACGGTATCACATTTTGAACATATATTTAATTTAGGTTGCCACAAAACATAATTGTTGTGTAAAATATATAGAATATTTAATCGAGATGGTCTATTATATAACGGTAACTGTTCACAAAAATTAAGAGTTGATTTAAAAAAATTTTGACCTGAAAACAGATCACTTTTAGCCACTTGGTAATGCCACAGTATACAAATGTAATTAATTGAAAATAAATAATCGAAGCATATTCGCTTTTCACTTTCGATAACTCGACACCTCTCGTTATTTAACAATTCAGGTAACTCTCTAGTAGATTCTCGTTTATATTTAGCATCCGCACTACACTGCTTATTTCGAAGCTTACTATAGCTTTTTTCGAATTCTTTCGAACCGCTTTTGTGTACGGTTTTAGAACACGTTTCCTTTTTCGTGTTTATCACATCCTCGTTTTTGACATTATGGAATTTTTCACTATTGCATGGAATTTCTTCTGTATTTAAAGGTAGCCTTCTTTGCGCAGGGGGAACATATAGCTGCCGTTCGGGCCTTTTCTTCCTCAATTTAATGCTGCTTTCTGTTGAACTTTGGGGCATTATTTGTACTTTTGTAGTTTCAGTTACTTCATTTGAGTTTTTTCTGAAATAAAATTAAATGTAAATATATTAATAAACTAGAATGTACTCACATACTTTAAAAATTCTTTCTGACATACTGCGATTGCACGATTTCTGCCTGTACCCAGTGTAATAACTGCCAGATCAAATATCTTTGCTTGATACCGAACTGCCTTTAGATAGTTTGGTCCCAATACAGGGAAGACAACAACACTAAAAGTAAATGTTAAATGAAAGTAAAATCTAGCGATTTACATAATCAGTGAAGTAACAGTCTAACTTTCTCCTTCGGTTTATTATTAAATTCCTTTTCCGCGTGCTCAGGTAGCATGAAATGCAACTTATATTCGGATACAAATACTTCATACACGATTTTGAATATATGGTACTTACCAACATGAATTTTTATTTTTTAATACTACTTGGAGATCCTGGTTTACACAACAGACGAATTCGCGGTCGTAAAATATTTTGTTAAATTTCGTCGACAACTTATTTAAAATTTCATCTACATCGAGACTCATAGCATATGTCTCATCATTCTGTCAAAAATATGCTTGTGGATTTTGTGTCTAAAATTAAAATGAAAACGACAAAAGCAAAACCAATTACATACGTACTTCGGAAACTGAAAGCTGAACTGAAGGTCGTATTATATTGTTGCGCACACCACAACACCAGGGCAGGCACGCAACTATTGTGCCTACGGCGAAATGGGCCGTAACCATACAGAAAATTTAGGGAATGCTTGTCAATCTTGTCATAATTCAGAGCAAACTTTATATATCTTTGAAACTTATTTTTGGCAACTATTTAATAGCTAAAAAGGCTCGAATTCTCATAAAATGATTCCAACCCCCTCTATCTTCAAGGGTGCTAAACACAAATCAGATCCTTCCCAAATGGATGTAATAAAAGATTTAATAATCCCTGAAAAATATATTTTCAGATAAAGGAAATAGAGGTACCTAGGTATATTTATTTATGTATCCTTGGTATTTTAATCGCCACCTCTATTTTGTCTGTCATCCTCTGAAAAGGTTACTAAGCGTTGCAAATTTATTTCTAGGTACAGCACTTAGATTAGATTTAGAAATATAAACATTTATATCTTTTAACTCTATGTTCATTTGGCCAATAACGTACCTTCATAATTAGTAATGCGATATTACGTTTGCAAATAATATACTCGATAATATTACTATTTTAAGCTGTAATATTTCTATATAAATAAAACTTAATATGACCTAACTTAATGTACATGGAAATGTATATAAAGCTGAGTTAGTTTTTTTATATTAATAAGAAAAAAGTATCTGACCTAATCGAGCTTCATAAATTAACAGAAGAAAATTTTTAATCTTTATTTATTTATTTAAAAAAAAAAAAGTTATGCAGTCAAAAAATCTGATTCTCTTTTAAACAGAAAAATTTTAATCTGTATTAATTTATTCTGTTTGAAGCCATTTGGGGTGGGGCGGTCGCCCCTAACGCACCGCCCCCCCCCCTCCACCCCTGGATACGCGCCTGTCTACATATTGTTAGTAACTTATAGGATAGCTGACAAATAAAATAGGTGGAAAATCAGAGAAATGGAGCGTTTTCCGCAGTTCAAACTAATTACTCATATTTTTTATTCTGAAAGTGAAAGTTAAAGAAACATTTTCCGGATCAGAGTAGGTGCTGCCTGGCCTCGCCCTACCCTGCTGATTACGGCCCTGACCCTTGATTACAACACTAAAATTAAAAAAACTGCTTAAACTGTTAAAAATAATAAATTATATTAAAGTAATTATGTTGAATCCGTAGGTTTATAAATTTTAGAGAGGTCATTGTTTTTAATATAACAGTAATTTGTAAAAGTTTTACTATACCTACTATAATGATCGTTTGATCATCTGCTGAAACTTTCTAATATTTAAAGATGTAAAAAGTGCTTGGAATGTTGTTTAATTAAAAAGTACTTATATATCCTATATTGTAGTGCATATCTAGGTACACTAAAGAATAGTTTGAAATAGCCATAAGCAAAAAATGTTTAATTCATTTCTTTAAATTTACTTAGGTATGTAGGTGCCTATGGACCCTATGCATGTGCGTTTCTTGTTAGTAATCTGTGCATGTGCGTCTGGCTAGGAGGGTAAAAAAGAATAGGCGCTTGTCCATTGGCTTTTACAGCTAACGCACAAGCGTGTCATAAAATCAGAATTTTGAATTATTTTTAATTGGATTTGATGTTTTTTATAATTTTCAAGGCTTGTATCTATCCTTGCTCCCCCACCTGGTAAATTTTCTGCAGATGCCCATGTACCTTACTTGTGTCATAAAATTTTGGTTCAAATTCAGCTACATAGTCAAATCTAATATTTAGGGGGTCAGGACAAGAGAAGGTCCCACAAAGCGCCTAGACCGACCACGTTTGTGGTCGGGGTCGATGACGGATGGAGTCCACCTTCACGAGGCTGTCCAGCATGGGCGTAGCTAGGATTTTTGTTTGGGGTGGGCCCAAGGTTGTAAGTTGTATGGAGGTCTCAAATAAAAAAAAATAAAAAAAAAGCACGCAATGAACGACTTATCGATATAAAATTTCAAAAACCTAAACACGTTTTGATTTGATTTTTTAAAAAAAAGATCACGCAATCAACGCCTTGATGATATTATTGGGGGATCTTTTTTTTCTAGGGTGGGCACCGGACTTTCTGTGGTGGGCCGTGCACACCCCTGCCCCCCCTAGCTATGCCCATGCTGTCCAGGTCTACAGCGATGAGGCAGGACAAAGAGGGTCCCAAATAATTTAGGCCATTTTTCTCTGAAGACTTATAACAGTTTATAACTCCAAAAACAAGAAACAGTACTTACTTCTTTATATAAATAACTCGATGAAAAAAGAACATAGCCCAGCATAACTGCTCATTGATTTCAAAATACATTAAAAAGAAAAATATCATATGGGTTAGAAAAGATGAAAAAAAAACTTATGCTGTGATAATCAGTATAAAAAAAGGACTTCATTTTGGGAAAACTTTAGGTTGGACTATAAATTGTAGAGATACTATCGTACTTTCTGGAGCAATATGGTTTAGTACAATATAGTATACCTTTAGGAACGTCCCTGGCAATATCTACGTCTAATTGATACTTAAATTTCCGAATATCTATTCTCAATCTCAGCATAAATTGAAACTAAAATAACATAACTCCAAAATCTAATCTCCCAATTTTCTTTTTCATATTTAAATATTTTTGTGAAAGTGCGTGTAGCGTGTATATTTTTTAACAGCATTGTTTTTATACGAGTGTAAAATTGTTTTTCTTAAATTCATAAAAAAATCATAATTTTAATGAGGATAATTGTGCAGAATTTTGGTAGCTTTTTTGATTATATTCCGAAATTAACATATGGTCACAGAAGGTAAATTGTTTTATCTTCTGTGATATGGTGGTGAAACTGTTTGGAGATACAAATATATTGGCCACAAATTAATTACTGAAGTATTATTTTGGCAGCCCTGTGTAAACAACTTCATTGTGCATTTACTTGTATGAGTTTTAAGTTTCTTGAAAGTTCTTTGAATTTTTAAAATTTAAAATTTACTTTCAGTTATATCTCAGGTGATGGATGACTCTGAATTTTCTCACAGGGCTCGTAAAAGGATTAAAGAAGTAAAGAAAAAAGCTAGACCTGGTAAGCATAAGCAGTGGAACATAACCTATAATACATATTTACCTCTATAATACACGACCCATTTTTATCAAATATAAAGAATAACTTTTCTTACATATGGTTTTAACTGTTTTAGAGTTAAATACTAAGGAATTATGGACACTACAAGGATATGCAAATGATTTTGAGAGATTTCATAATTTTGTTGACAATTGTGAAAGAATAGACCAAGATAAATGTTCACAAAGAGGATTTATATCTAAGTATGAACTGCCTTACAAACCCGTTGTTATCACTGGAAGCCAAGAAGGGTGGAAAGCAAAAGAGAAATGGACTTTGGAGAAACTGGCGAAGAAATACAGAAACCAAAAATTTAAATGTGGTGAAGATAACGAAGGTTATAGTGTTAAAATGAAGATGAAATATTATATACATTATATGCTTAATACTAAAGATGATAGTCCTTTATATATATTTGATAGCAATTTTGGTGAGGTAAGTAAACAGTCACATATTGTCTTGTAAATATTAAGTCTTCACGGCATATTGCTGCAAGTTGTCAAAATTTTGACATCAAAGTAATACCACATACTTCAGAAGTATGTGAGTAATACTTTCCCTTGCATTTGGCAACTAGCAGTTAATTTTAATATTATATTCTATGTTAGTAACTAAACAGTCAATAAAATTATAAAATTATATTATTGTTTTGTAGAGGTTAAATAATTTAAAATTTAAAAGTTGACAAGCTCCGAATTCTAATGTTATTTGATGGTGATTAACTAGTTTTTTTTTATATAGTGTAGAAATATATTATATATCATTTATTTCTGTTATGCAATATAAAGTTCTAAAATGAATCCACTGACATATTAAAATAAATTTTTCATTGACTGTATTTGCACTTTGCACCCCATATTCTGAGGTCGTTGTCATAAACTTTCACATTTCAGTTGGGTAGGTCATTTTTTGCTAATGATATCACTTTTCTGTTTTAAAATTATAATATTTAGTCACTCTGCATGTTTAAATAACTTTCTTCTGATCAATTACTGATACATTTCAGTTTGACCTTGCACTGCAAAATGTTGCACTATGGAAATTATTAACATATTTTACTTTTAAGTATTTTCAACTTTCATTTTTATCCATTCACATAGTTTTTGATTTCGTACATTTGAATATCATTAGAAATTAAAATAAGGTTTAAAGTACTAGTTATAATTTAAATATTAATCCTTGGTTGATAATAATGTTTAGATTTCATGTTTAATTTGTTAATATGTTGTTTCGTCTTTATTATTCATGATACACTAAAATTTGGTGCAGTATAATTACTAAAGCAATCTTCATTAACTTATTATTTAATCTTGATGGAATGCCAAAGAGAACTTTTTTTTATAATTTTAAAATAGTTTGAAGTGATACATGACAAAATAAATAATTTAATATTTGACAAGTGAACGTATATACATTTTTTAAACAATCGATTGAAATTAAAATGATTTTGATGTATTGAGACTTCCAAAAGTTTTTTTTTAATTCTTGTAGCATCGCCGTAGAAAAAAGTTGTTGCAAGATTATGATGTACCCTACTATTTTCGAGACGACTTACTTAAGTATTCTGGCGAAAGTAGAAGACCTCCATATAGATGGTTTGTTATGGGGCCAGGTAGATCGGGAACTGGTATTCATATAGATCCTCTTGGAACTAGCGCTTGGAATGCCCTTGTAGTAGGCCACAAAAGGTAACCTTTCTTAGTTATCTTATTTTACTTTTATCATAAAAAAGTAACACATTTTTATATTCCATTTAATTTCTTTATATCGTACAGCGTTTTTCAATCTATACGTTTATTTCAAAAGGATTTCCGATTTCATTTTCAAAATTTTTATTCAAAAATTTATTTTTTGACTAAAATTGTCAAATCAGTTTATTTATTCGAAAACAATTTTTTAATTTACTATTTAAGAATTTAGGATTTCGTGTTTTTTTCAAATTGCAGGTGGTGTTTGTTTCCGACACATACCCCGAAAGAACTTTTAAAAGTGACTGCTGTATTAGGCGGCAAGCAACGCGATGAAGCTATAACGTGGTTCAATGTAATTTACCCTAAAACCAAAGATCCATCGTGGCCTGAGGATTGCAAGCCGATCGAAATCCTTCAGAAACCGGGAGAAACTGTTTTTGTGCCCGGCGGGTGGTGGCACGTCGTCCTTAACTTGGACACAACGATAGCAGTCACACAAAACTTCTGTAGTAGAACTAATTTTCCCGTTGTTTGGCACAAAACTGCTAGGGGAAGACCGAAATTGTCCCGAAAGTGGTTGAGAGCTTTGAGAGAGAAAGAACCAAATTTAGCGGCGTTGGCCGATAGAATAAACTTAGAGCAACCTTCAGGCGTTGCGTCTGATAGTTCCAGCAACTCTTCGTCCAGTTCTAGTTCTGATTCTGATAGTACCAACTCTGAAGATGATGATAGCGGTCAGGAATCTATCACGACAAAGAAGAAGAGAAGAAAATCTGATAATGAATCCGAGCGTAACCGAAAGGTGTCTCGTAGACTGGTGAGTACAGATTTCTTTTCATATACTTTAATAAATATCAACATGGTACAAAACCGATTCTTATCATACTTTGTAATTCCATATTACAGAGCAATGATTCACCTATGTCATGGACATTCAATAAACGGGCTTCCATATCTCCTTCACATGCAACAGGTGAGATATTGAGGATGTCTGAGTGTTGATAACGAAAAATGTGGGGTATCTTGGTGAAGATGAGATATCTCTTAGGGACATCATCTGAATAAAAATAATCCATTAAACAGAACAAACTTAAGAGCGATATTAATATGAAACTCATTTTATTTTTAGTGAGAATACTATTTGGTTCCATTTTTTTCATTTTTTATTTTGTATTATGTTCTTTCTTTTATTCTATCAATAATATTCCTCTCCTCAACTTACTAATATGCTTCTATTTTGTCCCTACTTCAGTAATTTTTTCAGAAGTTTATAAAAATGAGGAATGAAACTTTTTCAAATCCATAATTTCTAATTTAATTTTTTTGTTATTCTTCTCTATTTTCTGCATTTATATTATGATTTTTTGTAGCCTCCAATGTTTATATTTTATTCCAATTGATTCCCTTTTTACAGATTATGTTCTTATATATTTTTGATAGTTATTCTATATGCTAAAATGCATTTAAGTTTTCAAATTTCGCATTAGTATTTCGTTACATTATTGAAAATATCGAATTTTATTTCACTAACGTTAAATGATTTATCAAAATTACATCGTTCATAGAAATAATTTGAAAATATAAGGATTTTTTATTGTCTCTAAAAGATTGTCCATCTTCAGTGGAAGATTCTGTATATTGGTTACATCATCATAACAAAAGGTGTTGGTACCTATTGCATTTTATTTTTACTAAGTTGTCATGAAACATTTATAACCTTAGAGAATTTTGTGAAATTATTTATCAATATAACAGTTTTCGATTTTTCATTTTTTCAATTTTGTAAATAACAATCTATTTATTTAGGATGCACGATTTGAATGATTTTTTTTTATATAGTAGGCTTGGATTGGTTGTTAAAACAAACTATAATGATTCAGATGGAAACTTTTTTCAGAAAATCACTTTAATGTCTCAAATTTTGTCAATGCATAATATAAAATAAAATATATACAGATTATATAAGTTTTCGTTTTTGTATAAAAATCTAGAGAGCATTGGAACTGCTGACAGATGAAGAATTAGCGTATGTTGGCTTAATTGTGAAAATTTTAAGTCCTACCTAAAGTTTAAAAAATAACTAATAATAAATTATAATCTGCGGTATTTGTGATTGGGTAATTTGTCACCTTCAATAATTTCCAAAGCCTCCTAGATTTTTAAGCTGAAGCAAAAACTAATTTTGTAAAAAAATATTCTGCATTAATGAAATATGCATTACTGGGGTTTTAAGTGATGGCTATGTTGCCAGATTTTTGACAAAAAATCTTTTAAGTGATTTTTCAAAAAATAATTATTGCAGAAGGATGTGCATTAAGGACTGGATCTTGTAATTGTTTCAATAAGTACATCTAGAAAGCCACTAGTTAAAAAATATTTATTTGAATCCTGATTAAAAGAAAAAAAAATAGAGAGGTATTCTATTTAGTTCTTAACGGGGCACACTGTATATGGAAAAAATTAGTGAACATTGAATTTAAGAAATTCTGTAAATATGCTGCTTAATTTGTTGTGTTTATATATATATTTATAAACTGTTGCTTAAAAATGTTAATTGTTTTGTCAGGTGAACAATTACTACCTTTAAACTGTAGATAATTTTTTTTGCAGTTTCAGTTTGTTACCATAGTAACAATGTACCTTAGAAAAAAATGGCTTAATAGAAATTGTTTATGACAGAATAATAATTAAAAAAACTCACTTCGCTGGTACGTTGTACATATTTTTATTGAAATGAAAGCTCAATGTGTAATCCTGTAAATAAATAAATAAAAATAAGTTTGAGCTCAATATTGAGTTTTCGAGGAAGCCTCATAAAACTTGTACAATCATTTGTGAGTAGTAGCAGTCTTTGTATTTTTTGCTTACAAATTCCAGGTACCCTTTGTGGGATATGTGTTCAAAAATATGTTTTTTGCATTCAAATGTGAAAGTATCCTGTTTTGCCACCTTTTATCATGTTCTTCTGTTGTCCAAAATTCCATTCCTTTTTCCTTCCTTCCCTTTTCAAAGCAATTTTAGCTGCTTCAACATGCTTTTAAATTTTTTCCAAGATATTCTATTCTATCATACACTTGGCCATTTTTTCCTCTATGTATTAGTATAACCGAATTTCGAAAGTATTACTACATAATGGGTTAAAGATAAAATATCTTGTTTCAGAAACTTCAGCAGACTTGCAAAGATGGAGCTTAGAAAATCAGACTGTTGCCAAAACTCCCCCTGAACATGTATGATATTAGTTTCCAGAGATTCTTAGTTTATGAAAAAGTTGAAACGAGGCTTCAACTGAACAGCCTCCTTGTTGAGTTAGTTTATTTTCTTAAAATATAACTTTTGTATAGAATGGTGTTTGTCATAGTAAAAATTTTTGAAATGGTTATAATTTAGTAGATGTGTTTGTCCAAACAAACATTTTAATAAAATTAAAATTGTGATAAATTTTATAAATCAGAATGGGTAATAATGTAAATTATATGACACAATGACCTATTTTATTCACTATAATATTTAGGTTACATTATACATACATATATTGGGAAAAAATTCAGAAACTTACATAGGATGTAAAGAGGGTCCAAATAAAAAAGCCTGAATTATTTCTCCCCACATCTCAGGCAAGATGCCTTACCGATGACAACTTTTTATTTCTTATTATTACTTGCATTTGCCCTCTCTCCACCTTTGTATCTAATTTCAGAAGGACCTGAAAAAATTTACCTAATATTTTTAGCTTTTTTACTTATTTTGGTAGTACTGTAAATCGCTACTATTTGACTGAATATAGAATTAATACAATTGTAGTTGACTTCTAGCGTTCTCAACTACGGAACTGGAAAACTGTAAGTATTTTTGTAACATACCATTTCTAAACTTTTCTATCCCAACAAATTATTTTGTTAAATATGTAGCAAATTATCACTGATAGAAAAGTTTGTATAGATATTTAATTTATTTAATATTTGTGCTTTGTGGTAAGTTTGTCTGGGTTCTCAATTTTTTATAACACAAATTTAAAAAAAGCGTGAAAACAAGACTACACTTGAAAAAGTTTTTATTGAAAATGTAACAAACTAATACAGGATAGTTTTCTTCATCATAAATTATTCTAGAAACTATATTTATATGAACTTTCTTCATGTGTAGAATGTATACATGGATAGATTTCTGGACGTCTGTATAAAGAGACTTGTAAAATATGAGGCGACTTCTTTATTTATTAAAATTGAGAACAGTGTGAATTTGTTTTAGAAATCGGAAGGCAGTTCCATGAAGGCACAAATATATCATGAAATTCCTTGAAATGAGCAATCACTTTTTCTTTTATATTAAAAGTAGGAAATGATGTTTCTCTGGACTATAATTTTTCCTGATTTTGTTATTTGTAGAATAGTAAATATCTGAATTACAATATATTTTCATTTAAATTACAGAGTTTAATTAATGGTGATTTAAACGATCAATTATATTTTTTCTGAATACATGTTACCATTCTAGTGTATTATTTCAATGTTTTTATTTATTTAGATTTATTAATTTAGTTGTATATGTTTCTTTAATTTATCTATGTGTACAAAAAAATGTATTGCCAAAGACCAAATATTGTACATATTAATTTCAGAAGGGTCACCATTTAATTTAGCTTGAATGAATTCAAAAATATTTTTTCCATTAAAACTTAATTGATAAAGTTTTTCTTGGCTTTCTGAAATAAGTGGTTAATATATAGATTTAAATAATTATATGACTGGCAATAATCCTCACGTACACATACTTTTCCTCGTCAATTAATTTGTTTCCTTCATAGTTTTTTTATTGTGATCAAAGCTAGTGCCTCCCTGTTTGGTAACAAAATTGGCATAACATATTTTCCTGTTTCTATCAAAATGTACCCTTATTATATTATTATTGGTATCTAATAATTTGCCGATTATTAGAAAGGACATAATAGAGGTAGTTGAGATATATAAGATCGTTTTTTAATTTAAGTATCCATTGATACTATTAGTTAAAATTTATTTCTGTAACAATTCAAATCCACATGGTGTGCAAACTGTTTATTTTTGTTTATGCCAACAACTGTAATGAATATTCTGTGTGCCTTTTGTCTATTCAGTATTTCTAAATAAAGTTTTATATTTTTGTTTTAATTATACGTTTAATTGTTCCTTTATTTGACCACTAGATAGCAAATATCGGGCACTCGCCTAGGATATGCAGAGAAGTTTCAGAAGCCAAGTCACATCCTCGGCATTCCTAAGAGTTGGAGAAAAACTCATTAACTGATTTCAGTGTTAGATTGGCCAGGGCCGATAGAGTTTTGCGGAATTTTTTCAGATTTTTCTTCATGACCTACGACTTTCTTGAAATACATATATCCATGAAAATGTGGAATTTTTCAATTGTTCCTTGGATCTATGATGAAATTGAGTGTCCCTGTATAGACAAATGGTTGATTTTTGTCTTTGGCTATTTCTTAAAAAAAAAAATCTAAAACTTCGAAATTTCTAAGAGTTGGGGAGTAACTGATTAACTTAGTTTTAGTTTCACTAGGACAGATGAAATCTAGCACAAATTTTTCAGATTTTTCTTGAATCCAAAACTTTAATGAAAAAAAATTATGAACAATTAAAAGCATCAAAAAATGAGTGCCCATTTAAAAACGACATTATAATTATGTATTTGAAGCCGCTGATTACGCTGGAACGGTTAGTTTTTGTCTAGCTTATTTCTTTGATGAAAAAAATCTAAAATCTCGAAATCTCCAAGAGCTGGAGGAGAACTGATTTTAGTGTTAGATTCGCCAAGGTCGATAAAGTATACAGGAATTTTTTCAAATTTTTTTGGGACTAGTAACATTCCTGAATAAATCGATAAACCATGTCCATGAAATGTACGTGTTCTTTAAAACTATCAAAAAACTTAAGTTGCCATCTAAACGCGGCCTCATATGTATTTGGGGCCGCTGATCATTGCTGAAATGATCAGTTTTTGTCCAAGTGATTTCTTTGAGGGAGAAAATCGAAAATTTTGAAATCTCAAAGAGCAGTGTTAGATTCACCGGCGTCGGTATAGTCTAAAGGAATTTTTTTAGATTTTCCTGTGATCCACGATTTCCCTGAAAAAAATCAATAAATATCAGAAATTGAAAAAGGTCGTCTAAAGTTGGCATCAAGCTGTAGCTCCACGTGTATTTGGACGTTTTTATCCATGGGCGTACCCATGAATTTTCAATGGGGTGAGGAGGGGGGGGTGGGTCTGCAAGAGCCAGTTTATTGAACAAAGGGTATGGTATGTGAAATCATAGTTTCAGAAATACCAAAAATATATGGTTAAACTGAAGAATTTAGTACAAAAGCCTTCTTATCCAACGGAATCATAGCAGAATCACTAAATGCCTCAGTTATCTAAACAAATAAACAATATATTTATTTTTGTTTAAATTTTTGTATTAATTAAAACTATATAGAACGAATGCCCAATAATAATAATGTAATTTTTGAAACTTTCATCATGCAGCAAGAATTAGGGAACCCCCCTTGGCTACGCCCATGTTTTTATCTACATTTTGGGCATTTTCATATAATATTTTTTGGAAAATTTTCTTGGATTCTATAGTTCATGAACATTTTTGTTAAAAAAAAATTGTTAACTTGAAAAAATGATGATCAGACTTAATTCGACCTTTTTAAATTATGCTGTTGAGAGTAAGATCTGAGCTACTTTCAAAATTTTTTAGAGTAAGTAATTATTTAATAGTACCGTATATTTATCGATAACGGCGGAGTAAAATTTTTGTTTCTTTTTTTTTTTATTTTTTTGGTTTTCTTACAAAAGTATAGAACGTAGAGAATAACTGAAATCACCGGTTGTTTCAGGGGATCCAAATGTACATTTGAATGTTTTTATCTACATTTTCATCAAAATGTTTAGCTAAAAAAGTTTTGTCTATACTTACTTGCTCTTCTTTATAGGGTTAATCTTAAATGTGTACATATATTTTAAATAGTTTACTGTGAAAAATTCTTTCCAAAAAAATTCTTTAAATGTATGGTGATATTTAACTTGCTGAAATTATTTTTTCAGTCGTTTAGTGTTTCCTTGATTATGAAATTAAAATTAGGGTTAAGATTATTAGGTACATAAATTAATTTTAATTTGCTATTAAAATCAGTTACTATTTTTAAAATATCTGTCCCAGTATATTAGAATTAGATTTAACCTGATTGTGAAATGTTTTTAAGGTTATGTTGGGAATAATTTTCTTAACACATGACTTGGCAAACTAGCAATTGCAGATACGCATTCGATTAAATTCATGTGAACAATTGTTTTCAACATGTATATGTAATATGTATGCTAGTATCTGCGATTTTAAAAAAAGACTGCACCCGCAGTTGAAATATATGTACATTTTCAAGATTTACATAGTACATAGGCACCATACTGCTTGTTGGGGAAGTAACATTAAAAAGCCAATATTCACTGCCATCACCATTTATTTATTGTATAAATTACAAAAGTATAATTTACAAATTAACAATTAAATTTACAAAAATCTTAAATTATAATATATTCATTGCTATATATCATTCAAATGATGTACAAGTGTTATCACATTTTTCATTCGAAATATATACACATAGACAAGCTAAAAAATTTACAATATATCATATGTCATGTAAAAATAAAAAAATAGATATCAAAGGTTAACTACAATGTATATATATAATTCTAGTGTTCTATGGGTAGTGGTACAAATAGCTTAGCTTCTAGTTCTGTATGAACAAATACATAATAGAAAGTCTAGAATTGGCAGTATCGGTACTTTTTTTAAACTAGTATTGCATATTGATACATATCTGCCGCTTACGTCTTCTATGAAACATTACTTAAATTCATCTATGGGATGAAAGGTACTATTAAAAATGAGTACTGTTATGATATTTAGCTACTGGATGTCTTTTATTTACAGGTTTTAGTCCCACTCCCCAATATACATAGTACGGGACTGGCTGGGAATGTAACCCCGTGTTGGAATAGGCAGCCGGCCATAGATTTGGTTGTACGGCGACTCCACCGACTCCGAGTCTGAAAAAAATTCGCTTATAAAGTCATCTATATATGCCAACGAACCGACATTCTATATTAGCAATGACAACAGCCTTAAGAAAGTAAATGCAGGGCCATTCAAGGGATGATCGTGTTTAATTAAAGTGTTTGGCGACCCAAGCCGTAGAACCACCCTGTAGATTGTGCGTAGAGGTTCACATGAGTAAAATGGGCTAATTTCGTAAGCAAATTATTTTTGGAGCATGTCCCACAAAGACAGTTTTTCCGTAGCTCTGGTAATTGCAAAATAAGTTTTGGGGAGCACAACATTCAAATCTTTAACCTGCTCATAATTGAAGATCAGCAAATCCTCCTAGACGATGCTGTTATGAATTTACTGCTATCCAGAATAGAAGGAAAACTAATTACTATTAAATTTTTATGTCCTTGTACACAGTTAGAATCTAGACAATCTGTTGTATTTTATAATCACTAATACCAACATAAAGTTTTCTGATCCTATATGTATACAGGGTCGGAAAGTCACCATGGTTAATCGGTCGTTACGTGAGAGCGATAAAGTAAGTCATAGAAATCCGTGCGATAGAGAAAGATGGCTATAATGAAGGTGTCTAATAGTCACCGCCCATTTCGCCCTTCCACAAATAAGATCCACTTCTTATTTGTAGAAGGGCAAAATGGGCGGTGACTATTAGACGCCTTCATTATAGCCATCTTTCTCTGTCGCACGGCTTTCTATGACATACTTTATCGTTCTCACGTAACGGTCGATGAACCATGGGGACTTTCCGACCCTGTATGTAGTGGTGTCATAATTGTAACAATCTTTGTGGATCTTCTGATGCCATGTAGTCATCTCTCTTACAGCAATTTTAAATACCGCATAATATATCTATTTTTAATCAGTTATGTTTTAAGACTTTTGTCATAGTATTTTTTATATATCTTTATGTATTTTTGTGTGTCTTTATTTATTTTTATTCCTGCAACAACAAATAGATGCAAAATTTAACTTTCTTTCGATTTTATCAAAGTTAATGTTTTTCATCATTTTTGTTAGGTACTGTTTCAACGTAAAGAAGAATGCGACGCTCTTTCCAATTCAAAACAGTAAAAATGTTTCGGATCAATATTCTCCATATAAATGGACTGAACGAAATTTTACGCTGTGATGGAACAGTAATGAAATATCGGTTTACAAAACGATTTTGTTTGGATGAAGTTCCCATTATAGTGTAAAAGGCATACTGTATTGAGTATTTTTATTATGACATAATTTTTATGAACAGTTTCTTCAGTTCAGTACTTTCATTAAATTAGATAACTGCCGGAAGAAACGGTACGCCCTGTATGGTCGAAAATGTTTTAAAAAGTGACAAGTATTTATTTGAAATACTGTGTTGTGGATATTACAAGAGCTATGAAAAAATCCGTCTTAAGTGGGACACCCCGTATATACAGAAAAGCCTTATAAAAATAAGTTTTACTCAACATTCCACAGAAGGACGTTGTTACAAATCAACCGCTGTGAGTCATTCAAGGATGCATTTAAACCAGTAATAAAACACGCCTACTGCCCACTAGTTGGGGATTAATATATGCTTTTAAGCGGCTACCTATTAAAAAAAACTAAAGCGATGTCTTCTATAAACAAACGGAAAAGTTTTCATTAAGAATACGCGCAGTATAATTTTACTGGCTCAAAGTAAGTAACTTTTACGAAATTGTAAAATATGGTGATACTCCTTTCTGCGAAGACGGAGGAAAAGTTTCCGTGGACCAATGGATGATATTTGCCGAACTGGGAGGCCTGATCAGGGTAAAGTAAGTTGGTCATTCACCCATGCGATGGCAGAACGGGTGTCGTTGCAGCGTCCTTTACTTTTACTTTTTATTTTTTTTTACGCATTCTGTGGCGCTCCGAGAGAGCTATTTTTATTTACTCGTGATTTAGCCGGTTACATTTATGGTAAAATTTCCATTTGGGTAAAATACACTGCAATGCAATAAATGTATACAGGTTTTTGCGGAAGAGATATGTCTCGAATTTGATTTTAAATTCCTTGGCGCAAGGTGTAGATTTTTGTTTTTTAAGTTCTACTGTTTTTAATTGTTTATTTATAATTTGTTTTCTGTAATTATATGTTTACTATAGCATAGCGTGAAACTTTCAAACCCTCTCAAAATTTTGCTTACCCTCCTAATGTCGATGGCGCGGAACACGAATCTGAAGTAATTTTTGTTCAGTCGAACCTAGTTTTTCAAAATTCTACCCTGTGAACTTAATGTGGTAATGTCGTAAAATTGTCTGCCCCTCTTTCCCCTATCATTTTCGACAGATGTGCCTGAAATAAGGTTACTAAGTACTGCAAATTTACTTTGATTACCTATTTATGCGGGTATACAAACTTAACTTTGTCAAACTCAACTTTATGATGTAGGATTTTATCTGTATATTTAGTTAGGTTAGGTCCGGTTATTTTTTTTATATACTGTACTATATTAAATAAATACATTTTTCTTTCAAATTTCTGAAAATATTTTTTCCAGAAGTTATTAGAATAAACAGTGAACATACTGGTTAGAATTTTAATTTTTTTTTTTTGAAAACGGTTCGGTCGCATAAAAATAATTTCAGATTAATGTTGAGCACTGCCGAAAATATAAAAAATTTGATGCATTTCTTGAGAAAACGCTATAATAATTACTTTTGTCATAAAGACCATGATCACTGACTCTTTTTCGAGATTTTAATTATTTTTACAGATCATAGATTTAATATAACGTATAGGGTGTTTTTCATTTTTTCCGACTTATTTGAAAAAACGTAAACATTAAACAAATCTTTTATTAATTTCACAATTGAATAAGAATCATTATTTTACATATTATCTATAAAACTAAATGATATTATATGTGAAAATTTCTGTAAGCTAGAAAGCATTGTGTTAAGTTCTGTTAAAGATAAAGGTAGAAAAGTTTATTAAAGAAAGTCACGATTTAACAAGATATAGTTAACTTTTAAGCTAAAATGATATTAGAAGAAAGTTCTATTTCTTGACATTTTGCTGCTGATGCTAGACGATAATAATAAAACTTGCAACGGTGCTTTAGTGAGGTATTCCCAAGGTCAAAATAGAGCGATTAAACATGTGTTAATTAAAATTTGCTCATTTTTAATAAACATTGTTAAAATTTTAAAAATCTTTGTTAGAAAAAATTTCAGTACCCATTTTGGCCTCGCTAGCTTTACTGATAGAGTGAATAACTATGTTCTCAATTTTTTGTCGTTTTTTTTTATTGAATATTTTTCAGTTAGTGAATTTCACTCCTCCGCCCCCAAAAAAAATTCTGGATGCACCTATGGTCAAATTTGTGTTCTGGGAATACTTTATGAAAAAACTATTATCAGCAGCAAAACGTCAGGATACGTACAAATACAGGGCGTTTAACTAAGACATTAACGTGATACACGAATCCGATCACTAAAAATTTACGATACTAAAAGTTGCCTAGAAATGTCGGAATGCGGTACGGCACGTCACAGCGCGGTACCGAGCGGTGCGGTACCACACGTATTATCCTTAAAAAGTACTCTCCAAAACACCCTGTAGAAGCACTTCCATTTTAGTAGAGCAACAGATTAAAAGAAATTAAAATATTCAATATGGGATTGCGTCTATAATGCTTCTTGTTGCATACTTACGAAACAAAATCTAGTACCCTGCCTACTCACAACAAAAATCTGGAACTCAGTCTTGGAAATCTGAAGGAGGTCTGAAGGAATTCAGAGGGGGAAGAGGGAAGTTGTACAAAATTTGAGACCCCTCCGTATTTAGTGATTAGTCGATAGGATTTTCCACTGATTTACAAATGCTACGTCTACGCATCAATGGAAAATACTAAAATTATAACTGTATTAGTAAGTTAGTCTCTTTACCTACCTATTCCGCTCTCGTAACTTCTGGCGTGCCACAAGGCTCTAGGGTGCATGCTGTGAGTATTCATGTGGTTGTGGGGGTGAAGCATGATTTGTTGGGGCAGTGGTCCTTGTTGCTGACTGACTGAGAATCTTTTCGAAGGGACGGTTTCTTTTGCTTTTGATTTTGATACGAAATTTGGCACTCTGGCTCGTAACCCGCAGTAGTAGGGATCATCTGAAAATAATTATCAGTGCAGATTAAGCAGGATGACACACCCAATTCCAATAGGTGAAAATTAACGACGAGAATTCAAACCAATCTTCTATTGGAGAGAGAAATACGTATCTTGAATCGTCAAGAAGCAGTAACAGATGACGTGTCAATCGGGCAAAAAATGTTCCACCATGACGAAATGTTTTTAATATTTTCAAAACTTTTGAAACAAATCGAAAAAAGTGGAAAACGACTGATATATCTCAACATTATATCGGAAAACGGATTTGAACGTTCAGAGTGAGGTTATAGCAGCTTGATTTCGAAAAATACAATAATCATAATAATTACCATATTTTTTGTTGTCCTTTGATTTTTCCTTGCCCCTTGACGTAGAGAAAGGCTTAGGTCTTCTACTGTCGGACACATGGTCGTCATAATCGGGCTGCAATTAAAATAGGCATTATCAGAAATGACAGGAATAATTTTTAAGTAATTTATGCAATAACAGTATTATAATAATACTTTTTCACTAACATAACAGTACCAAAAATGAAAATAGGTACTTTGCATACGAGCCACATTTTTTCACTTATTAAAAGACCTCGATCGAATGTAAATTTGCTCTCGCCGCGAATTCTCTGAACTCGGTGTACGAGCCGATTTAATTATAAAAACAAGATACTCTGAAATTGGGCAGGACCAAGTAAAGACACTTTCAATTTCGTAATAAATAATTTATCTCGTGAATGTTGGACATAAAATGCCAGGAAGAATTTAATGTTGCCGTAACTTCAAACCGGTAAGCGGCGATTTTCGGAATGGGCTCAAAAGGGATCAAGTAAGATTATGGCAGTCGGTGACAATAAAGCAGTGGCATAGAAACAAACATAAAGGGGCATACCTTAGTAAAGAATTATTCTTTTGGAAATTAATAAAATGAATATCAACCGTTTTAACAGTTTTCTTAACGAAAATAATCGTGTTTGGTCTACAGCTTTAAAGAATTCCTAAGGCAATGTTATCTCATATTTATATTTTAACTATTATTCAAATTTATCGCAAAATTGCAAAACTTCTGACGCAGGGAATACCACTCTAGCATATTCGTACCCTTAGTATTGTGCTTATCATGTGTTCCCTGAGGCGGAATTTAATTGAATTAAAAATCTTACATAAACTTCCTTTATATGCAGTCTCAAGATGTATCAAAAATTTCACTTAAAATATTTTAAATATGCTCTCGTTTCCTTTGTAGATTGCATAAGAAGGATCATTTTGTTCATTCAAATATGATTAAAATTTAACACCTAAACTTTGCTAATTTGATTTAATTCTTTCCATCACAGACACTGGACACTGCTGTACGTCTAGTAAGATATTTTCACCTCTGCATTTTGCAATTACAAAATCTCCAATTAAAATATATCGTCTATCATTTCTTTATAAGCGTAATGTACGCTATTTTGACAAAAATTAATGCTAAGGCTACACAGTGCGCTTCGCTAACTATGTTCGCTATACACGTTAACAACAGCCAATATTACGACTACACAGACCTCTATGATAGCTGCAATTGGTATGCTTACCATGTTTGCTAAAAATAGCCACCAATGTTTAAAACTACGTCATTATTAGCACAAGCACAAGCGAACATAGCGTTCTTAGCGGCCCGTGTAAAACTAGCTTTAGCTTACAAGTCAGAATCTTACAAATAACGTTTCTCTTTGCGCAAAGACAACAGCAACGATGCCATAAGACCCCAATATTAATATCTAGGAAAACTTTTTACCTTAGGTATGTCATGTGGGTACATATTTTCACGGGGTGGTAGTTTTGGTGGTTTTTCGCTACGCCTCTGAGCAAGTTGTTGGCTTTGCATGAGAAGTTGGTCTCTTGTGGCTGCCACGCTTCCACCTGCAAAGCCAGAACTTCCCGATGATCCGCTACCGTTGCCAGCGATGCTGTAGGGGTCTTCATCTGGAATGGGTATTCTTGGTCGATTTTTGATGTCCATAACGCGTTGAACTGAAAAAAAAAGTAATGGTTAAAGCCTCACTATACAGTTCTCGTCATAGTTTGTTTGTTAAGGATCATTTTCGGATAGAAAGCGTTAATGAGCCAAGGATCTAAGCTACTGATTTCATAGACACATTATTACTAACAATCCTAGATTTTTGACGCTACTGTCTATTTAGGAAATTGGATAAGTGTGTTTAATTCTCCAGCAAATGGCCAGTGGGACGGGTGCAGGAATATATGGTCCCAGACCCAGATGGAGTGCAAGCTACAATCTGGGGAGGTTTCCCATTGTATTTCAAGCAGAAATTTTCGTGCTAATGGCTTGTTTAACAGAGAATGTACGTAGAGGCTAAAAATAAATTTATATACATATTCTCTGACAGTCAAGAAACAATTAAGGCTTTAAACATACGCAAGGTAAGTTCAAAACTTGTGTGGGAATGTTTACAAATGCTGCCACTAACACAGTTGTATTGTGTTGGGTGCCAGAACCCAAAGGCATTGGCGGAAATGAGAAAGCGTATAAACTTGCTAGGAAGGGATTCGAGTCAGGGCTCATTAGTCCGGAGCCCTTCTGTGGCACACATAACATAGAAGCTATGCGAAGGAACTTATAGAGTGTCCAGAAAAGAACGAATGGTCGAGTGCTCAGGATTTGCTCATAGTAGAATGAGACTCCTGGGAAAACGGTTTCTGGAACCCAAAGAGCTGAGAGAAATGTTGGCAAGGAAGATTTTGAAATTTGTAAAAATAACCAATCTACTTGCTGAATAGGTTTGAACAGTGGGTGGTATGGGATTTGATTAAAACCTAACAACAGGTACAACAAGAAGAAGAAGAAACAATCCTAGATTTTTGAAGCTGCTGTATATTTAGGAAATTGGATAAGTGTCTTTAATTAACAATTATTATTAGGAAGACAAAAAACAACCATAAAAACAACTGATTTTCAAGTAGAATAAATATAAAACTATTTGCTTCATAAAAAATAGTGGATTATTTAGTTCGAAGAATACAATACAATCATCAATGGTTGAGACATAAATATATAGAAATATAATACTCGCTTTTAGAATCAAATGGGATATACAGGGTGAAAGTCATTTTAAAATTACAAATTTTTACAGATATATTATTTTTTTAAATCCATCCGTCGAACAACACGTACATTTTTGAAACTGCTGTCCTTGAAACGTAATCAAAACCTTACGCAGTTTTCATTTCAATCCTTTATGTACTTAAAAAATATATTTTATTAATTTTCACTTCTTTATTATTTTATTTCTTCATTTATTTCTTTTGAAAGAAAGAATGGTGAATTCTGTAGCGAAATCAGCGGTCCTAAATAAGTTTTCTATTAAAAAAGCATGTTAGCTATGTTAAGGCGCGTATACACCATATTCAAGAACTGTTCGCCAATTGCTCGTGATTAAATAATTACATAAATATATATATTTTGAAGTTCTTATGTGAAATCCTCGAAAATATGTTATTTTGAATCGAAAATCACCACCACCAGGCACTTATGGTAGCTAGCTCATTAGAATCGATTCGAGACAGTAATACAAAGGAAGTCTAGGTATTTCGTAGCATAAAACCATAACCACACGAACTTTACGACAAAGTCACACTGTACTTTCACTTCACGCAAGTAATTGAGTTTTAATTACCGAGTTATGGTTCAACGCTTTTAATATTAATATTTAATGTTGTTATTGAAAGGTTTAAAGTAACTGTACTTCGATACTGACCATTAATGTAATTAGTAAACTTATTGAGAATTATTTAGACTGACAGAAATGGATAGTCTCGCGAAAGTTGACAATTCAGCGTAACAGACGAGTGGGTCTTTAAATACTCTCTAAATATTACCTTATAAATTTTGGTCAATTAGTCCTACGTACGTTTGGGGTATTTTTTAGTTAAAATAAACACTAAATCGGCCAAGAGTTATATTGATCATAGTTGCCGTGGAAAAGAAGACATTTTTTTTCAATTTTCATTTACCGACATATTTTAATTATTTTTCAAAAATTTGCTTTACATATAATAAAAATATCTCTAGACATTTAAATATTACTCGTAGTATCGGTAAACATCGAGGTTATGTAAAAAAATAGGGAACTTGAATTTTAAAATTTACAAATAAACAATTTTAGACAATGATTGATTACGTATAGTTTTACGTATGAAATACAAAGAGAGTGGCCGCGTTTCGCACTGCGCTTTTGTGGTTTTTATATTAGAAATCGGAATTTCTATATACAATGAAAGTACGCAAACTAGTAAGGGTTTTAGTGGTTACCATAAGTTGTAGCGCAACCACTTTGAGTAATACTTAATTGGCAGATGAAAAAAAAATTATTTTGTAATTTTATGTGCGTGCATACTACCGTGTATTTGCATTCAGAAAAACATCTGAACATCGATTTAAAAATTGGACCAAAAAAAAAACAATTGTTTTTTTAGCAGAAATTGATATAGAGACACAATAACAGAACACATTTATCTCCAAAATGCTGCTAATACTTTCCTGTGTTCGAAAATAGTACAGGAATCGATATTCAATTGTTCTTCTAAGTCCTTAGAAAGGACTTATTGCATGAGTATGTTTACAATGTTTCCATTCAAATATTAAATTTTTATGTGATGTTATGAAAAAACATGTATATCTTCGTATCAAGAATTGAGCTAGCAGCTAGGGCACGCGGTTATTTGAAGTTACAATAACCTGTCTAGCGGCGGGGTATGAAAACTATGGAGAAATGGTTATAAAAAATAATGACGGAATTTGAGAAAACAGATATGTGCTTTTAAAGGTTAAATTAATTTCCGTATAAATATGACCCCCATTCAAAGTTAGCCCCTGTATTAATTGAGGACATATGCATCTAAACAGCTTCAAAATACATAGAAACCATCGCATTAGAATCATTCAAAAGCATCAGAACAGCTGTAATATGTAAGAGTACATAGAAATGGCATTAAAATCTATTAAGACGGCTTTAGAATTCAACAAAATACATCAACACCTCTTCAGATAGCCTAAAAATCTTCAAATTCGTTGTCAAATACATTAAAAATGTCCAAATCACCTTCGAAACATTTAAAAAATGGCAAAATTCGTGTATTTTGCCTAGAAATGGAATATGCAGGTTTCAGGTAGTTGAAGTAAATACATTTGCAACAACCTAGAGTTTGATTGCATTGTTTTTTAATGTACCAAATAAGTTAAAACATAACTTTCGAAGGTCTTCAGTTTTAGATAATTTAAATCTGACATTTTGAGACCGAACATCATAGAGGCTGAGAGTTGCGCATAAATGAAGGAGAGATATTACGACTGTTTCAATTTTACCATCAACGGCATTTGGTAGAAACAATGCAAGTAATATTTATTAAAAACGACAAGTAATGGCAAATTACTTTTATAACGTATTCAAAACTGACATGTTGTTTACGTTGGTTTTATAATTTTTTTAAACGCAACCATGTGGGTATCGAAATGCTGGTTCGTAAGTATATTTGCACCGATAACTTCCTTAAGTTTAATAGCCACTATTTAGGAAATAAACAAGTCGGAGATAAATGTCTGCACCACCGAACTGGAACAAACTGTGTGTTCAAGAAAAACTCGTCTAGTAAGTACTCTAGCGATAAACTATTTACAAGAAAAAGCAAGAGATGCAATTACTGTCGCACCAGTGCTAAGTTAAAAGCTTCACACATGGGTGGATCATGGCTAACGGATACCTCCGAGATTACCAAATTCGTTGTCGTGTAGGCTTCTGAAGAAATGTTTAACGGTAGGTCGTAGGCATGTTAAAATATAGCGGGTTTTTATATGCCTACTGGTTGCATGTATTTGTTACTCTGTTAATTGTTACTCCCACTACCTAAAAGCATCTAGATTTGCAAGGTTTTAAGCCAGTTTTGTAAATTCTTCTACGAATATATTGACATACTAATTACATATTCTACAAACACGAAATTTTTCGTACGACATTGTACAGTAGTAGAAGAGTGTTTTTAGTTCAGTTCAGAATTTTTTAATGGATATTGAGAACTTGTTGAGGACCTCTTGAACCGCATCCCACATAAAAAGGGGCAAATAGTTGCGGCCATAGATGAACGCCGTTTTTCTCAATTTTTTTTTTTTTTTGTAATGAACAAAAACTGCTAGTTCAATTTTAGGAAATAATAACAGTAGCTGCAACAGCAACAGCAGCAGCAATAACAACAGCAACAGCAGCAGCAATAACAACAGCAACTACAACAACAGCAGCTGCAGTAGCAGTAGGAACAATAGCATCAAAAACAGCAACAGTATGATCAACAATAACAGCAGCAGCAACAACAGCGACAGCAGTAGCAACAGCAGCAACAACAGCAACAACAATAACGGCTACAGCAACAGAAACAGCAGCAGCAACAACGCAACAACAATAGCAACAACAACAACAATAGCAGCAGCAGCTGCTGCAGCTGTAGTACCGATAACATTATCAAAAATAACAACAATAGCAGCGGCAATAATAATAATAAAACCAGCATCAGCAACAACAACAATAACAGCAACTGTAACACCGACAGAAACATCAACGACAATAGCAGCAGTAAGAACAACAATAGCAGCAGCAACAACAATGACAACAATAGCTACAACAACAGCAACAGTAACAGCAGCAACAACAACAACAACAACAACAACAACAACAACAACAACAACAACAACAACAACAACAACTCTAGGCAGGAGAAGCTGCAGGAGCAATAGTAACAACAGCAACAACAACAGCAGCAACAGCAACAACAACAATCTATCTAAGATACATCAACTAATTCAACAAAGATTTACAGCCTCTACCTCTCTGCCAATAACCAAACTTTTACTAAACTAAACATACTAAAATGGTTTATCAATACATAACATTTTTTCTAGAACCTGGTCACAGGTCACTCGGTATGTTGAAAGTTCATACATGGGCCTTGAAACAGTCGATTGTGATGTTTTTCTTAATTGATTCAAACAGTAAAAAGTGACTAATTGGCAGCTGTTAGTAATTTCTTCGAAAAAGGAACTCTTCTGCAAGATGATGAATGGAAATGATTATTTGACAAAACGTATTTGTTTATCCATGGCCAACCTACGATTTCTTTGCCTTCTTTATAAAAAAATAAATTACATAGTATTTGTTTATTAATAGCGTGATTACTTGTAATTAAAATTTTGTTATGGTGTTAGAAAACACATTAATATTGTTTTGATTAATCTCTTCATACAGGATATTGTAGGATGTATAGAAAAAGTTTAAGAAAAATATAAATGGATGTACAGATATTTTGCTGGTTACAAATTTAAAAATGGCTTATAATTAATATAAAAATTATTAAAACTTATTGAAAACCTCTGGAAGCGTCCCCTGCACAAAAAGAGGTGAATGGATGTGGTCACAGATAGCGAGGTGTCCATTATTTATCCCAATTTTTGAAGTAAGCAGAAAAACTACTAATTGAAGTTGAAGTTATTTACTTCTTTGGATTCTTACTTTTAATTATGTTTTCCTTTTGTGAAAGACAATCTGTTTGGTGCGTCTGCGTTAATATGTGTGAATAGACATACTAAAATGGACCATTAATACAGTAATAATGATTTAATGGACATGGTGGTAACATATGGAGCCGCTGATGAAAATAGACAGTTAACTTCACATTTTTATATACAGCCTTTTGTCGGAACACTTGTAAGTGGAGACTTAATCGAGTTATCGATGGAAACAACAGTTCCAGAAATGTTTCTTCCTATTACTTCGGTAAAAAAGATTCTATTTGCAAAATATATTTCTACTAAATAAATCGCATCTCGATTTATTTAGTCTCCAAATATTCTCTTGAAGCTTGTAAACTAAATTTCAATTATTTCAGTATAGCACGTTTTTGATGATTTTATTTATCTGATGTTTGATTTTATTATTTTTATGAACAGGAACTATGTTAAACGACATTCTGAAGCTATTCCTTTCTATTAACGCAATATTACAAATTATATACATTTCCTACAAACTACACCAAAAACTAACATTTTCTCCTTTATCTAAGTGCCCATTGAAGCATGTAATCGCGTACCTATTAGTACTTCTGTGTTTGCTATTAATTTTTTTCATAATTATATCCTTTTACCTCACTTACTGTTAGCTGTATCGTGAAAAATATAAATAAGACAATTACCTGGAGGTAATTTTGATTTCAGCATGTCCATGGCGACGATATTTATGATCAGGACCCAAATGGGACATTCCAGAAGTTCTGGTTCTGACTTGACAAAGGCTATGGAGCTCAAACACTGACATTCTAACCTCCTACGATCGGGATACGCCCTTCGTAACTCACGATTTACGTTGGACTGGAACTTTTTCATGTCAAATAACTGAAAATTAAAGAATTTCATGAGTAAACGAGTCTTCTACATTTTCAGTACCTATACTCACTTTTACGGGTTTGTCTGGTTCTAGCGCACAATTTGGCATCTTCAGAATTTCGTTTCCCACCGCATTTTCTTCATCCTTGCCTACGTTTTTGATGTAAACGTTACACTTCGATATTCTCTTGATTAGAATATTGCCAGCGTCGTCCATTTTAATTTTAACACCCTGTAAAAACCAAAACAGATTTCTTTCATACAATACGTCTACACGAGATCCAAAATAGTAGGCAGTAAGACTCGGAAGTAAATCAAAGTTCTTAATTCCATAAAATAATTTTAGGTGTTTCCAACTTAGTTGTTTCCTTTCGTACTATATGCGTGCCCGTATTATTATTATTATCTATCTGTTCTCTATTTAATAATTTCTCTCTAATGTGAGAGAGACACGTTGACAACGATTCATGGCCTACTTGAGACTACTGACATAACTCAACGACATACAAATAAGTTGATGTAATAACGAAAATATTTTTAAATGCGGTACCATTATCGGAATACATCTTAAAAGGTTTACCGCCCTTGAACCGTTGCGAAAAGTTGAGGGCATTTCATATTGACCGATAATCTTGAGGTCGAGTAAGGCAGCTAAAGCGTTGGCGAGTCTCACCATCATTTCGTCGCCTACTACAACTCCGGAATAAGAAATACTGTTTGGATTGTTATTTAAATTCGCTTCTAGATTTAAGCGAATATGCATAATTAGGTAATACGACGCATTATCGGTTTTAAAATCATTAAATGTTTCTTTGATGTCGTATTCGTCAAATTTGTGTGAAAATTAGCAAGTTCAATGATCGCAATGATGCAGGACACGATATTTTGAAAAGTTATTTTTAAGAATTAAGCTACTTTGTTAATTAATAATAATTTAAACTTACGTGGCCAATGTGCCGTTTGAATTCTTCTGTTTTCTGGTCTCTCATTGGATTGTCAAAGCCACACAAACCAATCCTGAAACGAAAAGAAGATTTAGTAAGCACTCAGATCAGTTTCTCATGATAAATTGCAACATTTTGAAAGCTTAACTTCAAAAAAGTCATTTATGAATAATAAAAACGACAATGGCTCAAGATTTGACCCCTGATGGATCACTGCAAATAACATTCGTTATAGTCTTATTTTGTGGCATAGTCCTCTTTTTTCATATCACTGGATCCACCTATTCATAAGCTTGATACAGCTCTTAACAAAGTTTCCATGATCTCAATTGTCTCAGTAAACTTATATTATAAACAGATCGTTGAAATATTTTTTGACAAAAAACAAACCAAATGTCTGATGGTGTCAGGTTGGGACAGTATGATGGATATTGCAACCTCGAATATCAATTAAAACCAAAATTACACCACATATCTACAATAATTTTAGATTTAGATTAATACCTCCCAATTTTTCTTTTGGTATTGAATAGTACAAGGAAACAAGTGATAATTTTTTAAGTGCGACCACTATTAAATTAAAATTATAGATACTCCAATGCCTTTAACCGTACTGGAGCTTTCTAATATTTGGGAGTTGAAAATATAATCAAATGCACCAGGAAATTCTTTATGCATAAATCTCAGAACTTTACACCTAGTAATGATTCTATTTTTCCCAACTGTTGTAGAATTATCAAACAATCATTGCTAGAGTCAATTTTCTTGAAAAACTTAAGATCTTGTCATTTATAAATAATAAAAGCAACAATGGCCCTAGATTTGATCCCTGGAGAACTACAAATATCCGGATGGTTACAAAGTCTGACTGAGGAGCATTGTAATTACCATATTGTTGCCAATATCTAATATTTTTAGAAGGAGACCACCAATTTCGTGTTGGTCTTTGTGTAAAGTGATGTTGAGCTAATCATGGAACTTTTTAATAACATTGTTAAACAGAGTGCTCATAGATATTGTTATAGTCTCATTTTTTGACGTCGTACTCTTTCTTCTTAACACTGGGTGTATCTGTCCATAAGCTGCACCAAAAAGCTTTTTACAAAAGAGCTTTTTGGTGCATTTTTTAACCAAGTTACGTCCAGCAACTACCAAATAAAAATTATGAACACACTAAATTTCATTGCCAGTTTTTCTTTTCAATGTACAGTTACAGTATACTGTTTCATTGATACGCAATCAGTATATCAGTTAAGTCTTATCTCACATCAGTCTATTATGAAGTCAAACGGTATTTAAAAAAATATATTGCTTAATTAGTTTTTGCAAAGTTGCAGTTCCACCAGTTTTACTCTCGACTGGCCATGGCACTCGATTTCGATATAATTAGCAACTTATTCTTGAATGGAGATTTTTATCTTGCTTGCCTTAAAATCGAAACGTGTTTCGGTGTCTTGGCCTATTTCGGACCCCATTACCGTCTCTGACTGCACTTTATTTAATCTATCTTTTCGACGAGTAAAAAACTATTTCCTATTACACCACGACGCAAAGTGGTTTTTTTTAACACGGTCGATAAATCTATCAGAGAGGTGCATCTCGGCAATATTGTTTTTCCATCTAACTATTAAACCAGTCCGTGTACCTCTTAAAATCCATGACGGAGCGCCCTTGTGCAAACGGCCGCAGACAAGGTCATGTAATATCACTTGGAACAAATTCGATAAATAGAATACGTCGATTTTTGTCTAAAAGCGAGCTCTCGCCAATACAACGCGACTCACACTGCTTCAAATGAACCCGCATTAGTATTTTTTTTAATGCTTTGTTGGGGACTGCTGTAACAGGTTACAAAATTTACTGCAGTTGCTGAGAATAGAATTTCATTTAGTACTACAATATTCGTATAGATGTCACTACACAAAATACGTTTGTAGTAAAAATATACTACTGTTTCTTTCATAATCGGGAGTTTTTATTACCACATGCGCGAACTAATCGCCCTATGCACGTGAAAAAACATTCGAACATTATTGGTCATACATTTTCGAAATCATGAGGGCATAAGGGCTACTTTTTTTAAATAAATTTTCGTTTTAAATAAGGAAAACTTAATTAAAATACCACGCAGATGTACCTTTTTATGGCAAAATCAAACAAGCAATGAATATGGGGAGGTTAACATATTACGTGCTCCATAATCAACGGGATTAAGATCAGGGCTATTAGGTCACCAGGCACGACAAAGCAGGTCAATATATTTACATCAGTTGTCTAACTGTTCCTTCATACGCATTGGAATTCGATATTTTTTGCGCTTATAATTTGAATAACATTTTTAGATAACATAGAGCGTTTGATTCATATTACGTGCGTTTGAAGAACTATGGTTGTTATTGTAAAATAAAATACAGTAAGTCTGTAGGGTAGGTAGTGTTTGTCACATCAAAAAGTTGATGGTGAGAAACACCATACGGACTGAATATGTAAGATATGCTACCTTTTGAGGTCGATGACATTTAACGTGTACATTTTTATGCAAGGTAGAAACTCCCATCAAACTTAGGTTTTATTGATGTGACCATTGATTCCAACAATTCCATTCATTCCGTAACATTTAAGTTTATATAAATAATTAAATAAACGACTTTTTCTTAGAAAAATATTACTCCTGGAAATGTTTATTGATTGGTTTGGTGCTCTTCTTTAACAACATTGCTATTTAAGCTTTAAAAAATTATAAATACTATTGTGAAAATAGTTTTTATGAAAATTATGTAGAAACTATACAGGATGTACAATTAAAACTTTCCTAATTGACGTTATTTTCCGTTCAAACTATTTGTCCCCTCTATTCCCTATACTTATTCGTTATTTTTCATCTGCGTAGGCTCATATTGATCAGATAACGCTGCGGTTTAATTTTCTCCCGCCTTTGCAGTTTACGACTATAATCCGTTGCCGATTAATTTTACTTTTTAAATACATCCTGTGGTTCTTAAAATTCCAAAAAACTGGTCTTGGCTATAAAAATACTATAAACACCAAATCTGTGTGGGCCAAAATGTTCTGCGTCTGGACACACTAAAAGTTTTTAGTTTAGTTTTTTTTTTTATTAAGAAAATGTTAAGCTGTTTTTTTTTTCTTCGAGAAAATAAACCCACTCTAAATTGATAACATTAAATGAATTATAGCCATTGTACCGTAAAATTTATTATTTCCAATCGTCGGTTAAAATAAAAATCACAAGTTAGTGTTATCTGGTGTGGGAGGGGAGGCAGTAAATTATGATTATATAGTTCGCATTAGCACTCGAGTACTTACGTTGTTAAAATTCAAGTCAATATTTATTGTAAAATGTTACCTCCACTAGTTTGATGTATAACAATGGTAGCGGACATATTACAGTGTTTAAAGACAGTTTTTAGTTTTGTAACAGTTTAATAAGTTTTATGAGAACCATAAAATTATCCTGTGACATTCAAATTACAGAACAACCTAAAAGCTTCAACAATTTGAAATTTTAATTTTGGCCTCAAGTCATGGGCATAACTGAGAGCTTGAGAATTTGAAAATGAGAGGACTGAGGTTATAGGAAGTGAAAGGACTTTAAATAACGGTTTACATTGTGCAGTACATCTTTTACACATTGTGTAGTTATTAATCTCGGCTATAAAGCTCGAAAATAAAAACCTGGTACGTTCTATCCCTTTATGATGATAATTCTGCGTTATATAAAATAATTACTATTCTTAAAATGAAGACACACTTTCACTTTAAGCAAACAAATGTCAAAGGTGAGGACTTTAACGCCTAATGATAATTATAGGCCTTTAAATTCCACTAATACACATATCTATACATAGCCGCAGAACACGCTTCTCGGAATTTACAAACACTATTACTATTACAATTTACTTGAGTCAATTAACTGTATGTAATAACCAGTTGTGATTGTTGGAGCTCGAAGCAATTGAAAGCAAATGTATGCCGCATTTATCACACTCGGCATAGTCCAACCGCATATAAGAGCCCTGTTAAAGTTTCAAAGCGGCTTATTATGCAACGCGATTGAAAATTTCATAATAGTTAATATCTGGAGCAGCACACAAGCCACTTATCAGCGCTCAGATGTATTAACAGTTAACATCATACCGGTGACATTTGGAAAGAACCACCTCGCGTAGACTAGATGACCTTGTATAATTGCTAAGGCGTCTTTAAACCAAGCAAACCCACATCTCAAACAACGCAAGTTGGCACAATATTTTTTTTTTGTTGTGAACGGTGGGCAGGTCCAACCTGCCAAATTTCGAAACATTGGCGTTATTTCAGTTGTTGGGATTTTGGACAACTATTTATTACTTCCTCACGTATAACAACAGCCAGCTGTATAAACTAAAAACAAAGCACTATTTGAATCCTGTAGTTATTTAAAATTGTCAACATTAAAGTTATTTACTGTTTGATATTACAGTATTTCAAATTGCAAAAGATGAATTTTGTATATCACAAGAACCACATAGTTTATTAAAATGGGATCATTTAGCATATTTGTTTTCTCCCTCAAAATAATTAATGAAAATAGAGCCCGCGAAAATACACGGAAGCCACGTTGTGACGTCATTATACACGTTAACGGTTAGCCCACTTATTTTGTACGTCATATCATCCTTTTTTTCACTTAACGACGTAACTGAATGTTGCCATTTTTGCTAGATGTGAGAACATGTGAAGGCGCAACTCAGTGTTGTCATTTTTGTTACATATGTATGAGAAAAAGAAGACAATAGCTATGAAAGCAGATAAAAACAAATATAAACTAAAAAACGAAAAAATATTTTTCGAAACGTTATAGACTAATACAGGTCCTGGTGTAAGAAGAGAATAAGCGCCAGTACGTAAATTGTCCAGGAAAGGAAAGCAATTTGGTTTATGTTGTAAAGTCAAGTTATAAGGGTGTTGAACTTATGTCAAAAATTTAAAGTGGTGAAAAAGGAGCAAAAACTCTGTTTAAAACTATTTTGGAACTGCTGAAATACATGTATTTTATCACGGTGAGTACTTACAAAA